GCAGGAAAAATCACGCTCCTTGTCAACTTTTGCCGAAAAGCACGCTCGTGCCAGTCCTTTTCCGCATCACACATCGATCAGCGCGACATCAGCGCGTGCAGAAATTTTTTTTGGGATCACTTTCTTTGGGAGCTTGGTAACCGCGCCTGCTATGATGCAATATAGGAAGCCTGTACCGCAGGAAATAGATTGCGGTCGAACACTTTGACGCGACTTTAATATTGTATACTTGTTCCATAACCGCTGCGGTTTTGACGCATTATTCATCGTGTCTTTCCGAAAGCTTTGTACCCATAAATAAAATGTAATAAAAAGAGAACACATTACAATTTTTTTATAAAATGGATCAAAATATACCATAAATATCGTGATATTGAATTTTGTTTTGAATCAGTATGCCAGTATAAAGGTCATAAGTTCGTGCGTATTCGAAATATAGACATATTATTTGCAGTTCATTTAAACTGATAGAAACGTTCAAACGTTCACATTCAAATTATTCAATTAGGTAAAATTAACTATGAATTTATTTTAAACGATTCCCTGTTTGTATTATATTGTGCACTACTAATACTGTGACACTGTGTGAGTCACAGATAGTCTCGGTTGAAAACGTGATGTTTATATTAGCCGACAAGTATGCAAACCACGCACTCTGATGCTTATAGGCGCACTGATGTCAAGTTTGTCATTGATTATCATGAGTATCAAAATTGACAAATCAAAATTTGCCTGCGCGCAATGCAAAATGTGAACAAGGCACGTTTATAGATTTTGCATTATCAACTGTAAGCTGAGAGCGATGCATAAATTCAGTTGTAGTAACTTTTAAATATTTCCCGCTAAAGGTTAATGATAATTAATGGTACTGATAGACTTTATATGAGTACCTGCCATAACCCCAAATTTACGTCAAGTGTCCCAACAAATCCAAATATGTACCCTGAATAAAAGTCGCGGTTACCAAGCCTCCCATGGAAAGTGATCCCAAAAAAAATTTCTGCAATCGGGTTAGAAATCAGAAAAACAGGTTAGAAATCACGTTAGAAATCAAGAAATCGCATTATAAATCAACAGAAATCCGTTTAGAAATCAACAGAAATCAGATTAGAAATCAAGAAATCAGGTTCGAAATCGCGTGATTTCGAAATCTCGTACGCTTCATGTGGCCGTGTCGGACCCCTCGCACACAACCTTGTATATGTCAAGAGTAAAAAACTTTTTTACTTTTAGAACTTTTTTATAACTATAAATGTGAATACAAAAACATATAAATTACTCATTAAAACAAAATCTAGTGTTAACCGCAGAGTCAAAATGCCAATTTCACAATGAGAAGGACTGCTCAAAATAGAGGGAAAAAGAAATTTGTTTTTGAATTTTTTAAAATATCGGACATCCGGATTGCTAAAACCCCCCCTCCCCCCTTATGTCCGAGTTTGCGGAATGGCCCCTTACATATTTATATTGCAAATTAAATTTTTATTCTGTTGTCAACGACCAATCACCAGTGAACTCTATATATATATATATCTGGAACGATAACATTCAGTCATTTGATTGTGAAAACAATGAAGCCTCGATACCAATCTCGTTCCCCGAGCATGCCCGTTCGCAGTTTAAGGGTGGGCATAGCTCTGGAGAAATCGAATTGATTCAGGCCTGTGATTGGCTAACGGCAGATAGTACGTTGGATTTCCAACGTGAGGTCTATATAAACAAAGTATTTGGAATTTCTCATCGAAAATTTGATACTTTTTACACTGAAATCGATTGAAAACAACTAGAAATTCTGGAGGAAATATGTGCGAAAGCTGCGGATTCATAGGGATACAACTACCTAAAAAATACAAGGAGAACTTCGACGTTTCGAGCGAAGGCGCTTCGACTTGTGCTGTTTATAGTGTTTGTATACATCGTACTTGACCTTTTATATACTGTCATACCTAACAGGCTAACACTACGTATGCCATAAATTCTAACAGGAGAGTTATATAAATGTAAATTTTAAAGCATAAAAATATATAATACTTATTATTGAGGAGATTATTATTTATCAGCAAAGGTCAAGTACGATGTATACAAACACTAACAGTACATATCGAAGCTTCGCTCGAAACGTCGAAGTTCTCCTTGTATTTTTCAGGTAGCTGTATCCCTATCCAACCGAAGCTTTCGTACATATTTCCCCCAGAATTTTTAGTTGTTTTCAATTCGATTTCAGTGTAAAATGTATCAAATTTTCGACGCGAAATCGGAAATTCTATTAAATACTTTATTTATATTTTGCAACATTGCCGAGCATGCGCAGAACTCACGTTGGAAATTCAACGCGAATCAATTCGATTTCTCCAGAGCTATGCCCACCCTTAACCTGCGAACGGGCATGCTCGGGGAACAAGATTGCCTCGATACCAGTCTTTCACGCGGATTGGACGTCAGTCTCAGTCCCTCAAACGTCAGGTTTACGCGGATTGGACGTCAGTTTCATTCCCCCTCTTGCAAACCGTTGCACGGCCTGTATAAATTTGAACGCAATCACGAAAAAAAAATTAAAAACATGGCCAACTCAATGCAATACATTGTAGGAGCAAACTGTTTTGCTCCTAAAATTTACTGCATTGAGTTCGCTGTCGGAAAAAAGTCGAGGAAAACTTCCCCGTGTGGAGAAAAGAATCACTTTTTCAAATATATTGTGTCGTACTGGATGCACACGGAAAGAGATATTCTTGCCAGAAAATTTCATTTCACAGGTACTAAGGTAAATTGACTTGCAACTGTGACTTTGCCGTTGCCATTTTTCGCGATTGTTTGAATTGTTTTTTAGTTTACCAGTTTTATAGTTTTTAGTCAATACACTGGTACGTTATTTTTTAAAGAATTTATTGTGTGATCGGAATTTGCCTGCCAGCAAAATGTAAATGAATATGTACGTGTGTTTGAATATAAATTAGACCATATGGGCTTAGTAAAAAATTATTTTAATAACTACGTTTCGGAGTATAACTCCACCTTCAGGTTAAAAGTGAATAAAGATATAAAAACTGTGATAAAAACTTTCAAAACAATTACAAATTTTATTTGTAAGTGATTTTTAATACTGTAAGAAAGTTCTTGAACAGTTGATGACGAAGACAATGACGAATACTTATGTCGTGATTTTTTTGTCGGCTTCACCACAGAATAGGAAGTTATACCAGAAGCGTAACTCGAGCAAATATTTGTCCGCGTTTTTGCAAGCGATTCGTCATCAATCACGCCATCCTGGCTAGTACAACCGGCACTTTGTACCTACCAAATCCTGATAAAAACTTCCGGCTGTACTAGCCAGGATGGCGTGGCCTGACGTGAGCGAGTTAAAAATTTTCGTGGACGTCAAACAATAAGGGAAACGACTAGAGTTACGCTTCTGGTATAACTTCCTATTCTGTGGCTTCACTTTTCGCTCGCTGTCTGGCTCGCTGTTATCATTCCAGATATATACACGGCAAAAAACGCTCAAGTTGATGCAATACTGATGAAAACAGGATTGAACAATGTTTTGCTGCCCACATTGTTCATAGCTGTCAACAATATCGAACAATATTGTTACACCCGATTCAGGCTCAACAATATTGTTCAATATTGTTGACAGCTATGAACAACGTAGGCAGCAAAACATTGTTCAGTCCTGTTGAGCAACGGGCTCGGCGTTTTTTGCCGTGTATATATAGAGTTCACTGCCAATCACCACTGATTGTAGACATTTTTCTTCCAATTTGTTCCGCGTCAGTGATTGGTGGATACTATTCTCCGCGCTTAGCTGTCCAATCAGGTGATAACATAACCTGAAATTCAGATCGATTCCCGTGGAAATCTGATTGGTTGATCAGCAATCATGAAAGATTTTGATTGGTTGCAAGTTCACATATGGTTCACATATCACATAAACAATATTTTATAAGGGGCGGACCATTAGAAATCCCGGGAGGGGGGGTGAAAATTCCCCCAAAAAAATTCGTGCAAAGGAAAATGCCTGGAAAAAAAATTCGTGCAGCCATTACGTCAGAGAAAAAAAATTCGTGCAAGCAAACAGCGAAGTAGAAAGTCTTGAAAAAAAATTCGTGCAGAGGTTAAATGCATTAAAAAAATTCCTGCAGAGACACGAGACTGAAAAAAAAATCGTGCCGCAAAAATTTTATACCCCCCCCCTTCCCGGGATTTCTAATGGTCCGCCCCTAATGCTTGTGATGTTACTCCGACATCCACACCGGGCAAGCTTGAAAACTATGCCTGTCCACGGTGGGAATCGAACCTACGACCTTTGGAATACTAGCCCAATGCTCTGCCAACTGAGCTACGCCGTCAGGTAGAATTTCTTTTGTTTTATACTTGGCAGAAAATAGATCAAGCAAACAGTCAACCTCGTTCCCAGGGCTTCAGTGTGGGATGAGGCGAGCCTCGTCCCACACTGAAGCCCTGGGAACGAGGTTGGCAAACAGTATTCTGAAAGGGCTTTATCAAAATCTTTGACGAAGTTTGGACACACGACGCTGAAAGAACAGCAAAAGTCATTTATTCGAAAGCTTGTTGTTGACAGCCAAGATGTCTTTGCTGTTCTGCCAACTGGCTTCGGCAAAAGTCATTTATCAGGTCCTACCGGCGATGTTTTCTGAGCTACGCCTTCGTCATGGTACGATAAAGATGATGAAATTACTTTAGCGTACTGGTGTTTTCTTGACGCACTTTAATTCCAACTGCGGAAAGTTAAGTAGATGGCAGAGAACAAAACTATTTGCATTCAGTCCTTGCACACAACTGACTAAATCTTTGTTTGGTGTTCGGTTATTAAACAGAGAAACTGAACTCTTAAAAGTACCTTGAATTTTTAAGTTTAAAAAGCAAAATGCACACTCTGCGGACATGTTCATGAGAATATAAAAACAAATAATCCAACATGAAATGAACATCAGGGTCTAGTCTAGATCGTCGGAAATGGATTCTCTGAAACTTTTCTTTTACTTGCAAATAAGATTGGAGCAATGACATACAAATTTGGTTTAGGTCAGGAATACCAAAATATGGTATCTACAGTTCAGACAATGACACAACACAAAATTTCTTTTGATTATTTTTATTCACCTAGACTGATAAATCAAATGTTCAATGCCAAGCATAACTAAAACTCAATGTTTTGCGGAAGTACGTTAAATATCATTTCTAACATACAGAAAGCTAATGTTGGAATAGGAAGACTCACGGTTACAAGAAGAACGGTCACAACGAAGACTAAACGGCGACATCTAAGGATTAAGAGAGTTGATCTATTGGTCATAACTTTAATAGAGACCTATATTATGTTATGGTTAGGGGGCAAACAAAAATTATCTTTCTGGTTTGGAAAACGTTTCAATTATGGATTATGTTCAATCGACCTCTTCCATTTTGCTAGAATCTTCGTCACCTCCTTCTTCCAGTGGTGGCATGTCATCTTCATTTCCAGCGTCTTCTGAAACGGTAAGACGTAAAAATTAGAAGATGAAGATAGACAGGTAAACAACCTGTTTACGTATTACAAACGCGTGTTGCGGTATATACTTTTTATTTGCACACTGGGGGATCGCCAGCTCCAGATAACCCTAGTTGGGCCACACATACATGTATCGATATCATTTCAGGCGTGAACATCCAAGTTAACATCAAGTCTTATACAGGCCTAAGAACGGGTAATATCCATAAAGACGTCAAAAAGGCGCTGTATTTTGGCTACAAATACATAATTTGGGTAAAACGTTGAACGTTGTGTTGAGAGGGAAACGAAGTTTAGGTCTTTAGGATTGGTTGTACGTAACACGTGTTGTATGTACCGTAGCCTACCCTGTCAAAACGTATTACCTTCAGTTGTATCTTCGTCGATTCCCAACCCAAGGTTGATCATTCTATATATACGAGCTGAATGAACTTGTGGTTCATCGAGCGTGAAGCCGGACGAAAGCAAGGATGTTTCAAATAACAAATGAACCAAATCTTTAACAGACTTGTCGTTTTTATCTTCAGCAACTTTCTTGTTCAATGCCTTGATGATAGAATGATCCGGGTTGATTTCCAGGTGTTTCTTCGCTGCCATATAACCCATGGTGCTTGAATCGCGGAGTGCCTGTGCCTTCATGATACGCTCCATGTTAGCAGACCATCCATACTGACTTGTCACGATACAGCAAGGTGACGAAACCAGACGGTTGGAGAGTATGACCTTTTCAACTTTCTTGTCAAGAATTTCTTTGATAAGCTACACAATGAAAAAATCAGCGATTTTCTTTCTCAAAATCATATCAATTTATAAAAAAACCTTCTCTTTTATTATCTGCACTGACGAAGTTCCAAACAATTATAGATCATCCCTTTTGTGTGCGGAACGGCATTTGGTTTTGTTAAAGTACAGTAGGTGTCACATTGTCAAAATTTTGTAACCACTTAGTCACTTACCTTGCAGAGTTCTTCAAAAGCGGCCTTCTGTTCCTCGCGTCTCTTCTTTTCTTCATCATCTTCTGGCAACTCCAAACCTTCTTTTGTGACACTTACCAGCTTCTTGCCATCATACTCCTTCAATTGCTGGATGGAGTATTCATCAATAGGCTCCGTCATGTAGAGAACCTCGAAACCACGCTTCTTTACTCGCTCAACAAAAGCGGAATTTGCAACTTGATCTTTGGACTCACCAGTGATATAGTAGATATCCTTTTGGGCTTCTTTCATACGCGAGACATAGTCCTTCAAAGAGGTCATTTCATCACTAGATGAAGTGTGGTAACGCAATAACTCAGCCATTTTTGCCCGGTTGGTGCTATCTTCGTGCATTCCAAGCTTGAGGTTTTTGGAGAACTGCTCATAGAAGGTCTTGTAGTTATCTTTATCTTCGGCAACTTCGTGGAAAAGCTCCATACACTTCTTGACGAGGTTCTTACGGATCACTTTCAAGATCTTGCTTTGTTGTAAGGTCTCGCGGGAGATGTTTAGCGGCAAATCTTCGGAATCAACTACGCCCTTGACGAAATTCAGATATTCTGGAATCAGATCGTCGCATGTATCCATGATGAAAACTCTTCGGACATACAGCTTAATGTTATTCCTCTTCTTGCGGTTTTCGAACAGATCGAACGGAGCACGTTTTGGAACAAAGAGTATGGCGCGGAACTCAAGTTGACCTTCCACAGAGAAATGCTTGACAGCAAGATGTTCTTCCCAATCATTAGTAAGACTCTTGTAAAACTCTGCATATTGTTCGCTAGTGATATCATTTGGATTTCTCATCCACAACGGCTTGGTCTTATTTAATTCTTCTTCATCGATGTATTTTTCCATAATCTTCTTCTTTTTCTTTTCATCTCCTGTGGGGAAGTTGACTGCATTAATGACTTTTACTACTGCACATTATTGACTGCATTATTGAATTTAAGAATATTTAAAGCAGGAATATGCGAGTAATATGATGCCAGATGATATGCACTAGTATTAAGTAAGGCACCTTAGAAGTGTACATGCAACTGTTATTAAAACTTGCTTTCAACTTCAACTAAGTAAAAAGTTTTTACCAAGGCCAAAATTTTGAAATTTTCAGCACTACCCAATGGGACACTAGAAACTTGAAATCTGGGGCCGGTTGTATAAAAAAGTGATTAAAGTTAACTATAGCTAGTGGAAACGTCATCCAATAAGAAACGCGTATATCAGAGTTAATCACTATTTAACCACAAAATAGTGATTAAAAAAGTGATTAAGACTTTTATACAACCGGCCCCAGGTATCCACCCAGAAAATTTGGTATCCCACATTTGAATAATAGATATTCTAGATAAAATTTCTGTAGTGGCTGCCTTTCGTTGGGAGAAAACCTTTTGTTGGACAAGACCAATTTGTTTACTGTCCCAATGTACGAGCTTTTTTAATGTTTACTAGTACCCAAACTTAATATCTGGGGCCGGTTGTATAAAACTCCTAATTAATCACTATTTTGTAGTTAAATAGTGATTAACTCCCAAATAGGCGCTTCTTATTGGATGACGTTTCCACTTAACTATAGTTAACTTTAATCACTTTTTTATACAACTGGCCCCAGGTAACCCATGGATATTGGGAAACTGTACATTTTAAGCCCTGTTTACTGTACCTTCTTTGTCAGCATCTTCATCGAGATCTTCAATTTTTGCCTTCTCTTTCTCACCATCTTCTTCGGCTTCAGCTTCTCCATTTTCTTTTTTCTCTTCCTCTTCTCCCTCTTTTTTATCCTCATCTTCATCTTCATCATCGCTCACCTCTTTTTCACGTTCTTTTTGAACCTGGAAAGATTAATATATCATCACCCCAACATTCCAAAGTTTTAAGACTGGTTTACACTGTCAAAGTTTCTGTGATCACAGTAGTAATTTTGCATGGGTAAATTCTAAGTTTTGAAGAATTTGTAAAAAATGTTTGAGGGAACTGAGCCCAGGGTTCTCCTTATCAGGCGGTAACCGGTAAAATTTACCGTTTCCACGAGCACTGATTACCGCCTGGAGAAGCCCAAGTTAAATATACGTTTGTGTACATTTGATAAGAAATAATTAGTAATAAGGTGTGAGAAAATCCTTTATATAATAACTACAGTGAAACACGCAATTTTATTGGTCAATAGTCGTGCAGGATCAGGCTATCCTGCACGAGGAATTATAATGCCTTCGCGGGATTTTCAAAATGTCATAGTTTCACTGCAGTTATTTTATAAAACAATTACCAAATGGTTTTCCAAGCAGGATAGCGTAATCCATGCACTTGGGATGTTGCTCGACTTTTGGAAAAGTGTCAAAATACACTCGCCTGCAGCTCGAGTATTTTTACGCTTTCCGAAAGTCTCGCGACATCCCTCGTGCATGGATCACACAATCCTGCACGGAAAACCATTCGGTATTCCTTTAATAATCAATCAATCAAGTATTGCTGAAATTCCACAATATTAATTATTTAGCATCGATAGATTGAATACAGAAATATCCTATAAACCCGATCTGTGAACAAAATTTTTTGGCGGAATGATTATATTATCAACCCAGCGTGGGCCTGAGTAATTAAATTGGCGTGTGTTTAGAATTATAATCTTTAGTATTCTATAAAAGTTTAAATCTTCCCTCAAAATGCAGGAAATACCATTTCAGATTTCAAAATTTTCCGTTGGTATACCCCAGACCCCCTAGAGGTTTGTATAGGTGCGACTTCGCCGACTTGATGCTTATACCTGTTGAAAAACCTGTTTTACCTGTCCCACTCACAACTATAGAGAACCCTGTGAGCCAATATGCCGTAATAGTGTTTAGCATCTTGTAGTAGTGTATTTCTACTTTATTTCTTATATATTGTTAACCTTCCCTTCTACATTTATAATTTTTCAGACCAACAGACTTAGTTAGCCTTGAAAGTTACAGCTAGTTTTGCTTTGGAAGTTACAGCTAGTTTTATCTGTGTTTCCTAGGTGTTTCCTTAATTCTGTTCAATTATTTTGTGGTCAGGGCCTATAACCTTTGTGGCATGAATGTGCACAACAAACCTTCAATACAATGGGATAACCAATAAACTGACTGTGTTTCTTCACAACATCTTTCACTCTCTTATCTTCAAGATATTCAGTTTGATCTTCTTTCATGTAGAGAATAATCTTCGTACCACGACCATACATTTCAGAATCATCTCTAGCAACAGTGAAAGATCCACCAGCTGAAGATTCCCAGATGTACTGTTCATCATCATTGTGTTTCGTGTGGACAATGACCTTCTCAGCAACCAAATAAGCAGAGTAAAAACCAACACCAAATTGACCAATCATAGAAATGTCAGCACCAGACTGCAACATGGTAGAAATATATTAAAACAATGGGGAAAATTTATTTTCAAGTCACAAATTAAATTCAAACACCTTCATTTTTACTGCACTGGAACTTTTGAAGAGATGACAGAGTGACACAACTTACAATGATTTAATTTTGTGGGCTAAAGTGTAATACAAAATCAACTTTCTTGGCTGAAGTGCAAGAATAAACGGGCTGCACCATTGCCACTGAATACACAATATTAAAATCTTAAAAACTCACTTTGCTTTTCAAATTTAATTGTATGGTGGTTTTGTAAAATAAGGAGTAAAACACACTGTACTTCAAGTAGTAACTAAAAGTCCTAAAAAACTCCTAAATAAATACTGCAAATCTAAGAATATATTCACAGATTATAAACTAGATACTACTACCGGTAATAGTATTTACCACAATTTACCACACAGCAAAACCTCAATTCATACCTGCAAGGCTTCCATAAAAGCTTTAGTACCAGACTTGGCAATTGTACCCAAGTTATTGACAAGATCAGCCTTGGTCATGCCAATTCCTGTATCAATAATGGTCAGAGTGTTGTCGTCTTTGTTTGGGATGATTTCGATTTTCATGTCCTTACAATCGTCGAGTTTTGAAGGATCTGTCAAGCTTTGGTAACGGATTTTATCCAAGGCCTGTCAAAAAAATATTAAAAAGAGGACCTATTTTCATGCTTTCATAATCCAACTACTTTTGTTGAATCTCACATAATTTTACTATTTTCATACTTTGCAAGGGTGATATTGTACAATGTACTTAATATTTGTCTATAAAACTGTAAACCTATGTAAATCTGCTAAATTTCATTTACTTAAAACAGCCAACTGCTTCCCAACAATTTGCTCTGTTTTTGTTCCTCTGTTTTCAAAGATGAAAGATTAGCACTTATATATATTTTTAAAATTTTATTTTCTGACTCCTCATTTACATACAGTGTGCTTGCTGGGCAATGGGTTGTTCCAGAAATCAACACAACAACAAACACAATGGCGATAAGTTGAAAAGATGTTTGTGCGATGTTAATCTGAGTGCATATCCACACCGGGCAGGCTTGAAAAATATGCCTGGCCACGGCGGGATTCGAACCTACGACCTTTGGAATACTAGCCCAATGCTCTTCCAACCCCGCTGTGGCCAGGCATATTTTTCAAGCCTGCCCAGTGTGGATATGCACTCAGAGTAACATCGCACAAACATCTTATTCACCTGAGTACATTACACCAGCACAGCAAATTGAAAAGGTACGAGGAATGAAACTAGTATGATCGCCAGACTAATTTTTAGTGTGTAGAAAGCGGTATATATGTTTTTATCTTTTTAAATAAATGAAAGAGTGGGGAATCTATTTTTGTAAGAGGAAGGGTAAAATGTTCTTGGGATGTCCATGTGAAAGGGCAATCACCTTGTAGAGATGAGATGTTTTCTGGAATGGCCAATTATTTTTTTACAAGATTATGACAGGTTATTGTAACTTTACTGTCTGATTAGTGAGCTTGTGACAAGTGAACTTGTTGTTCTCCTAAGCACAAATTGCAATATACGAAGGTAAATTAAAAATAGATGTGAAACTTGTAGGGATGGGCCAGATATACTGTTTTGTTGGATACCAGACAGTAGTCTACTGGATAGCAGTCAGGGACAGGGTCGATATCCACGGAATACTAATATTTGGTTTTGGATGTCAAACTGTGAACGACTTGTAGCCTAACTGGATACTAAGAAAATGTCTACTTTTTACCGGATACCATTTTCTGGATCTGGCATAGTCTGGTTTGAACATGTGTTGTACGGTAGGTATCTTGTGTGACAGTCCATTTTCATGCTTATGGTGTATAATTTGTGAAAGTTGAACTACAATTGATTTTCTTGCCATGTGTATTTGGTAGCTTGCCTCTTGTGGCCAAAACCAACATGAAAAGCAGTAAATCCATATTTAAATGCCATGAAAAGATGAGCTAGGAAAGGTACTATATGGTTTAATTAACAATAGACAGCCATGCCCAATATTGAAAATCAAGAAAATGCAATTTAAAAGTCAAAACGTTTTCATTTCTATCACCAATTTTTTATACAAACTTACTAAACACTACTTTCTATAATAAGAATAATAAGAAAGATTAAGATGACCATATGCCCAAATATTGTGGCTGAAAATCTAAATCCCCTGCGGGCCATTGGCCATGCACGTGGCCTGCCAAAATCTGTACATTTTGCTTTTTAGTCCAATTGAGGGACTAATTCCTTTCGAATTTGGGCAAATCTATATAGCTTAAGTAAACTTGGTCAAAATTGGCAAGGCTGAAACAATTATGGCCATCTTTTAAACATATGAAGGCATGTCGATAAAATAATCAAATTGCTCAGCTGTGCTTATATAAAATTGTACATAAGTTTGGTACCTGTTTGGTACCCGTTTACACATAAACATATTCAGAAGTAGCTTTAGTTTATTATGAATAGCCATTGCTTTAATATTTAAACAGAAAAGCCAAATAACCGCAAGACATTATGCAAGGCTTTGTCGCAAAGCGAAACCGCTTACGCATTATTACATGCCAAATTTCGTATAGAGGGCCAAAAATATGCCGGTTTAAACGCCCAAATATAATTCTACATTAGTATAACAAAGTATTTAACTAAACTACAAGTTCTGTAGAATATTAAAGCATATAAAAAGGCATATAACCGACCAGGGTGGTGTCAAATTTATATACTTACATCAGACGCATTCGAGATGAGTTCTCTCAGAAAAATTTCCTTGTTGGAGTAAAAAGTATTGATAATCAAGCTCATCAATTGAGCGATTTCTGCCTGAAAGGCGAAGGTTTCTACTTCGTTGTCTTCTTCCATCGATTTCATCTCATTTTCGCTCATTTTCAACGGTTTAAAGCGAGCTTTCTCTTCGTAAAAGAACCAAAAATATGCGACCACTGACAACGTGCTTGTAAAAAAGGAAGGAAAATTTCAACGCATGTTCATTTGGTCATGTGGAAAATCATAAACGAAGAAATATGATTGGTTCATAACCTTGGTGTGGTACGCTGCGATTGGTCGCCTTTAACTAGCAATGGGATTGGGCAATATGCTTTCGATTTCCGCATATTTTTAGCTTGCTCCCAAGAAATTTAAAGAAGTCTCATTCCAGAAATTCAAATATGGCCAATATGGTACGACTTTTCACTGAAAACAAATGCTGAAACCACCGTTGTTTCACAGGTTTGAATCTAAAGATAAAAATATTGTCTTCTTTCGCGTGTTTGTAGTGACTAGCCGTACCATGCATATTGCATTTTACGTTTTAATTAGATCTGTCACCCGATTGGCCAATCATTGAATCATATATGATTAAAATCTGCAACCCTACCAAGAAATGGGGGATATCTGAAATTTCATTTTCTAACCTGCGAAGTGAACGGCATATTCTACCTGTCAAATGCTCAAAAATTTCACGTGATTGGGTACTATTTCGGCTACTCATATGACCTCATGAAGATGTACCAGAAAGTCATAAACGCCCGTTCAAACCAACACAGAGCCTCCAGCCCTCCACCACAAGCATCTCTTAGTCTAGGGTTAGGTAGCCTGCGAACTGCCTCGTCCCCAGTCGCTTTCAAAGGGGGGAGAGGAAAACGAGAAAAAATTCTGTGTTGGATATCACAGTCACTGATCTATATAGATTGCAATTGCACTGCACTGCAGACTAGTCCCAAGTCCTCTGTGCCCGCTTTTGATTTCCGTGACGTCACCAAGCGAAACCGTCACCTCATTCATATGCAGAAACGCGCAATAGGCGAACTAAGAGGCCTAGGGACTAGGCTGACTGCACTGTACCCAACGAAGGGCCTGCGGATGAGGCAGGCCTGCGAATACAGAATCTACTCTGGAATCTATTTATATCGCCCCCCCAGTGAAGTAAGCGATATAAATAGATTCTGTATTCGCAGGCTAAGGGTTTATACAATGGGTTTATAAGGTGATCGGAGAAAATCTCAACTAGACTTTTTTTAAACCCTAACCCTACAGAGATGCCTGCGAAGGAAGCTCAGGGGCGGCGCTAAGGGTGGGTGGGTGGGGGAAACCTTCGCAGGCATCAGATCGTCGGCAAAATATTGAATGTCAGTTGGGAGATTCTTTTCGTAGTCTGGAAAACATGAATTTGGATACCAATATTTGACAATATTCGATTAAAAATAATGATAGCTAAAAAGTGGCATTTACGAAAACATTAGGGATCTAGAATTTTTCTGGTGTTATATATATGTTTGTGATGTTGTCTCTGAGTGCGTCCACACCGGGCAAGCTGTAAAGTTTGCTTGACCGCGATGGGAATCGAACCCGCGACCTTTGGGTTTACCAAGTTGGTAGAGCATTGGACTAGCAAACCAAAGATCATGGGCTCGATTCCCACCGCGGTGAAGCAAACTTTTCAGCTTCCCGGTGCGGTCACACTATAACATAAACATTAGAAAGTTGTGACGACTACGACAAATAATGGTATTTAATGACTTCTGAGTATAGTTGACAACACCTCGCGTTACATGTAAAATGATCGCTAATTGGACGACATATTGCAACAATCAACAGCTAGATGTTAATTTTGATTAGAGTAACATTGATAATGATCATACAATAGAGGTTTGTTAAATGATCCGACGATTGGATGACTTGATAGTTGATGATTAGAATTATGATCTTGAATTATGTTGAAATGATGAACACAAATGTCTTTGAGTTAAATGTTAGTTGATAAAGATACGTTTTTAGTTGGCAACGATTTTCGATGAACTTGAATCTATATAGATGAAATTGGCGAATGGTTGAACGAAGCTTGAATGTTAGTTGATGAAGAGTTGATATTGGTTGGTAACGGTCCTCAATGGAACTGGAAAAACATTGTGGTGATTGACACAAATTGTTCTTGAGTTAAACATTAGTTATTAAATGTAGATGCTTCGATGATGGAACGATCTTGGTTCGACGGTTTTGACAAAGTGTGTTTACAAATGTCCATGGCACGACGTTTATTATGTAGGTGGTTTTATGATAAATGGTGACAACCTTGGATTGATTTGGAATTGACGAGTGAATCTCAGATGGTAGAGTGAAACTAGTGGATAGATCTAGAGAATCCTTGGTCTAGGAAGAGTTTGTCTACTGCCCCTCTAATCCCCACGACTTAGTAAAAACATGCAACGAGTAAAAACACTCAATATAAAATCGACTAAACAAAGGGCCAAAAAAGCATAACTAGGCAAAAAAGGACTTTAAAAACAAGACATACAATAACAAACGTAATAAAAGTATGTTGTATTAGGTGAATGTGGAACCCAACTTTGGCGCTTCTTGTATAATTTTTTGCGTCATCAAAAAATACGCGGTTTGTACAGAATTAGGATCCCCAGTTATAACAACTTTTCGGTTCGAGGTTCCTGTGATGAACTCCCCTTTGTGAGAAATCGTGATGACTGCGTTACTAAACTGCATGAACTCATTAAGAGTCTTCCCACCCTTGCCTAGGATGATTCCAATCAAGTGATCAGGCACAGACATTTCATATGTGGCAGTTGTCGTGATTGCATTAGCTGGTGAGGTCCCCCCTAACTGCTGCATGCCTAACATTGCACTTAGTGGGTTCGCCGTTCCCAGAGGGTTAGAACCGAGAGAATTGGAAGCTAACATACTAGCTTGGGCTAAAAGATTTGCACTTGACGAGTCTTGGCTTCCAGCTCCTAAGCCCAAAAGCGTTGATAAATTTCCAAGTGCACCAGCCATGGATGATGAACTAGCACCAGTTGGTAACCCTGGCTTATGTTTGACATAACTCGAGTAATTAAGGTTGGTGTTCAGGCCATGTTCCGGGTCATCTTGACACTTTGTAACAACAGCAGTTGCGGCAGCCTTGACTTGCTCTGGTTCGCCTGTAATTGTGATGACCCTCTCACCAGAAATCTCTAAATCTTTCTGAGAAATTTGTAATTTTGCCCCAGTGTCATCGGTTATCCCTCGGATAAAACAACCACCTTTTCCAATCACCATACCAGCCGTAGAATTTGGGATTATAAGCTTCATCATGTTACAACGTTCTGACGTCAATGATCCACCACCCCGTCCGGGTAGTTCACTGCGGATCTTCTCAGTAATGAGATCCAGCATAGCCAGGATCTGGTGAAGCTCGCCGAGGATAACCACCACACGTTCTGCCGTACCAGGGTAAAATTCGTTCGCCGAGGATAGTTTGAGTTTTGCTCCAGTCTGTTCTTGCAGGATTTGTATTGTTTGGCCTCTTTTGCCAATTATAGAGCCAGCAATGTGATTTGGTACCATTGTCTTCAGCATGGGAGACTTGGCTAAAGGATGGAAATTTTCATGGTCAGATAAGTATCTGGGAGAGTGGGAGGACACAAGGTCTTTTCTGGGGAGTGAAGTTTTTCTAAAGGATGTTGCTTTGTCAGTGCCAGTACAATAATAAGAAAGCTGTGTATCGTCTAAAAACTTTGAAGGTGTCTCTTTGAAGGGCCACTTATACATTGAGTAAGAAACACAGCATCAAAAAAAAGTTAAATTCAGGTTTGTGTCAGCATAGTTAATAGAATAGATGGTTTGAAAACTCATTAGAATAACAATATAATCATTATCTATGTTAGTCAATGTTTATATGGTATCAGTAAAATTTAGAAAGAAGAGCCCAACACTTTCCCCCAATAAGCCCATTTCCAAGGAGAATTATCTGGCTGGGTATAATAAATTGCATGTCAAAAGTGTGAATTACTGATGTAGGGCACCTTAGGGCAGATTCCAGTAAATGGGTTAACATGGGAGGATTGGTTGGTTATCTGCTCAAGGCCAAAGCATCCCTTGCCGGGTGAAATCATCAGGCATTTAGAAACAAAAAAATCAACATACAGACATTAAGATACAGGCCTCAAAATATCTTTTACAGGGCCGTCTGACAAAATGTCCGATGACTTAGAGGTTTGGTTGGACACATGTATGATGATGTCTGATGACCTTCAGTTCAGTTTGATTCGGAAATAAGTCTGAATGACAAATTAATACCAGCAGAATGTATTAATTCTGAACTAAATTTTGTTAACTTAAGATATTAAATAAAATGTGTCATTCATGCTTACTTCCAAAGCCAAAATTAACTTGCTTGGGTGCATTTTGATTTACAAAGCTACAGTTTGGTCAGACACCAATACACTCGGGTCAGACAAACAATAAACCTCAGCCTCACGAATGGGTCAGACAATGTCTGTGACCAACCGATATTTTAAGGCCTGAAGATACATCAGTTAACAAGTAGTTTCAGAAAACCGCACACATCTTGGCAAGCTGGGTTCAGCAAGTATTCACATGCAAACATTATGCAGGGTCCGAATTAACGCTTCGCAAATCGCAAAATGCGAAGCGAAGCAATTTTGCTAAAAGTTGCGAAGCTTTTTTAGTTAATGCTTGATATCCAGCTTTCTTCCATTTCACTGGAATCTTCACTTTCTTCTATTTCATTTCATTTGTGTGGAGCATTTCACTTTTGAGTTCTGCGCTCGTGTTTTGAGGTTGACATCACGGCTGTCAACAGTGAGAACGACAATTCATTGTTTGTTTAGCCATTTGCTTCACTGTTATTAAAATTACATAACTTACATCTTAGCGTTTTTGGCTTTTTGTGATTCTCAAAAAAATCAGGGAGAGGGGGTCCTAAAATGTGTATTTTAACATGAAATTTTTCAACCAAAAATGCGAGACTGTTTTGTAGCGATAATTCGGACCCTGTTATGATCCCAAAGATTCACATGTGAAGACACTGAAGGACTGATCCCGGCCGGCAAGATCTTACCAGTTTCAAGTAAGATCTTGGCAACCACAACAGACCAGCTATCCACATAAATGCAAAGAAATATTAGAGGTAAAAGAATATAATGATATCTCATTTTTGGAAAACTATCTCACAAACAGAGATAGCCAGGCTTCCATATATGGAGACTGTGACAGAAGCGCAAATGAGGTTTAACCCTTTGAGTGCCAGCACTCTCCCCTTGACAAGTAAAATCATCTCGTGTTAGATGGAGTAAAATAATAAAGTAGGGTGCACTGGGGCACATGCAAGTTAATGGGTTAACAAGTTTTTAGTAGCTGCAATTAGCAATACGATCACAATGGCAGGTTTCAGTGCTAGCGAACAGCAGACATCTGTAACTGACATACATAAGGAGCAAGTGCATTAAACTTCACATCTGAATTCTATTATTTGCCATCAAATGTAAGATATATAATGGAAAGAATTTGTGAAAATTATTTTCTCACTCTGATAATTACAGGCCGGCAACCATCTGCTTGCACAATAGTACGTAATGGACGCACCCATATTTACTTCTTTAATTTATAAATATCATTCAACATATCTGACATGACATTGTGGTTGTTAATTACAGAACAGGTAAATTAATTTGAGGTCTCTAAAACATGACAAATAAAAATGAAAAAATTTTGACTCGATCACAACTGAATATCAGTCCAAAATTTTAATTTTTAAACAGTTGAAATTTATCGAACCTCTCTATAATACACTGCCCAATATTTTTAAGTTTCAACAATGCATAATGAAATGTCAATTCTACCTGACCAGCTTTTGCCAGCAGCTGCCAGCATAAACAGATGCCAGCAAACATAATATGAAATTTAGCAAGCATACCAAGAAAAAATACAGTTTTAGAAACATAATTTTAGCCTAGTTTTTAGCCAGAATATATAAATTTGACTCCGTTTATAAGGGGCCAACACGACAGGCATTTAAATACGTTCATACGTATGGGTAAAAGCTGGGAATTTATGGCAAATGCTGCCTAAAACGTATTCTTGTAAAACTAACCTTTTGCGTGAGACGTATACGGCACATATAGAGGCCTTTCTGCCTGCTCTAAACCCTCGTCCATGAAGCATAACTCCACTTCCCTCGACCGTACAGCCCTTTATAGCGATATTGAATTATTAAAGTGCCAAAGTGGACTTTAGGAAATGCAATTGAATACCGATGCGTGCTGAATTCAATGCGTTTGCATGTTTGTCATATGCGAACTATTGCGAAGGGAATTCGACATTTAGCTGCCCAAAAACGCTCTAAAACCCTAGCCATATTGCTAAGAAGCCTGATTTTTGTACCAGATCATGCAGTAAACCCCTAACCCGACCGACAGATAAGTATAGAGGAAAATGATTCGCATTCCTTTCCAAGGCAGCCGCATATCATGAATGCACCCTAGAGAATTTCAATACATCCGGTCGCGAATTGTCTGGAGCAAGCGCGCTAAAACAGTCAAATTTAAACCCATAAAACATTAACCTACCGTTATAATTCGCTCTCTTAGCGTTCACATAATCTTCTCTGTCAGTTTCCAAAGCTCTCTTGTTCGTTTCATAGCTTGGATTGTTTGTAGTTTGGCTATAATCGACTGCAGTTTCGGACGGGTAATAAGTTCCGTCAGCCATCTTGTTTCGAGTGTCGATATTTCAAACATGTGCCTCATGCTGCGCATGCGCTATTGAGGTTCAATTCCCAAGGGACGCCTTGTCTGTTTCTGATTGGCAGAAATTATTTACATTCCTAGAAAATTAGAAATTCTCATAAAAACCGTCAGTTTAGTTGTTTTGAGAAAATTCAAAACCAAATTTTCAAACATATTTATAATCAATGATCGGAATACATGTAGCCTGCGAGCGGGCCCCTAGAGAGCCTGCTCGCAGGCTAGAATACATGGTGCAACAACAACAAAACGAGGCATATATATATAGTCTTTACATATTTTGCAGCAATGTACTAACAATGTCAATATCCTAAAATGCCTAAGAATGATTTCAGCAGCGTTTTAATCTACAAAGCTGAGAGTAGGTGTTCATCACGATTGTTAGTCGTAATTAAATTTCAGTTGAAGCAGATATTTCATGTTTACTTGCGCGACGTCATAAACAATGTACCTAGAATTTTGTTAAGGAAAATTTCTACACCATTGAAGGTCTCCCGTGTTCCCTTGAATTTTTTTCTTGTTCCCTTGTTGCCCAAGGTTACATGTTCCCCTGGTTCTCTGTGATCTTTTTGGCTTTGCTCCCTGGACCCCACTGTAAAATATGTCTGTTTCAGTAGGGTCAAACTGGAAGCACTCCAGCCTAGTCCCAGGCTCTCTCTCTCTCTCTCTCTCTCTATTCGCTGCTTTGATATATTTAAATAAGTCTTAAGATTTATGCCTGGGTGTGCTATGCGGAACGCTTCAGCGAGAGAGCCTAGCAGATTTCGGTAAAATGGTCCCTGATTTCAAAAAAGTGGTCCCTGGCCTGGTTACCAAGCATACCGCATTTGTAAATAGAAAATGTTATGGAAATTTCCTTTGCGTTTATAATTAAGTCATTAGTTTTGCTCTAATGCTGTCGGAACAATGAAATAGGCTACGTTTCGCTACCATACGGTCAGAATGGAATAACGGGCTAAATATGACTCGTGTTTACTAAAATATAAAGCCATATTAAATGCTATCTAGAAGCTTGAAAATTATGCCGAGTCTCCGACTAAAAATGTTTTGACAACACAGTCATGTCAGACAAATATTTCCAATCTCCTAAGCTACTTAAACCTGTCGAGTAGAAGGCGTAGTTGTGCATACCAGTATGGTCTAGTGTTGATCACAACTTGCGAGTATATAAATAACATCAACAATTGTACGACCATTGCTCAGACTCAGTATCGTAAATTTGTATATAATTTTTTTTAATTGAGCACATTTTTAATACAGTTTGAATTTGGTTATGTAGACATCGAACATGATCAACAACATTGTCATAGAATAAAGATCCATATAGAAGGGGCCACTTACGTCGGAAGCTTTGAAGTTTCTGTCCTCGCGCATGTCGCATTGTGCATGTTGGCCGCCATTTTCCTAGCCAGTCAATGACATTTTCTGGCCAATAAACACGCTGTACCGGCTGGCTGCTCTGCCTTCTGGCCAGTAAACTGCATATTTTTGCACAAAAAAACGAGGACACGTTGCACCGCTGAGTGGCCCTTCTGTTACTGATCTTTATTCTGTGACATTGTCGTATTTACAAGGTTATTTGTATATATAAATTTTCCGCCATATTAAAAATACTGAAATCTGCTAGGCGTTCTGAAGCACCTTCAGCGGTGACATCACACCTAGGTCCCAGTCTCGTACTACATCCACGTTTTTTCTCACGCTTGTTTCAGAACGACTGGGACTAGGCTGGAAGCACTCCTCTGACCAGGGTAAAACACCGCTTCTCCCGTTTTACAATCATGACGTCATAGGGGCCCCTGGGAAAGTTTTGCCCCGCGACCCGCACAACCTCTCGGCGGCCCTGCTTCTGACATGTTACTACCGAGGTGAAATTAAAATCAGACAACAGCATAATACAGTTTGCATTATTTAACAAATAGATAAGATTTTGCTGTTGTCTGTTCAGTTATAGATACACAGTATGACGTCATAATGTGTGAAGAACAACAAGTGGTCACGCGCCGCCGAGCGAGTGGATCACTTTTTTGTTCTTCCCATTATGTCATACTGCGTATCTATAACTGAACAGACAACGGCAAAATGCTATACTAGCGAAATTTACAAATGCTATATTATACAAAATATATGTAACACAAAGGATACTCGTTATACAGAAGGCTTGATTGATTAATGTCTGCCGATCTATGCCATTTCCATAAGGTACAATGGTACCATCACTCGCAGTGTGATCTGAGCTAGGGTCTGGAGCTGTCCTACCACAACCTATACGTACGAGAAACGAAGATAGCGTCAAACCAGTCCATAGTGATATAGGGTGACCTATGATGCCACTATCATCACAGATTAAGTATATACTTAATCTATGCTATCATGCAGTAAGATGCCGGTGATCAACGTGCAGTGGTGTGCTGGCAGGGGGGGCAGGGCCGTTGCGAGGTCTTTGTCTTAGGGGGGGTGTAAGGTTTAAATTTACCTGAATTTATCCAACTTACCGTTTTTACATGATTGTAATTAATATTCTTTCCCCAAAATTGTTGGTGGGGGGAGGAGGGGTGAGGGGTGAAGATCATCGCAAAAAAATTTTCGGACATAATTTTACCAAAAGAGCAAAAATATTTTCAGGAAATATCTTCATTTTTAGGAAAATACAGTAAATTTTTCCACAAATATAGTTATTTTTCCCAATTCACTTTCTTATGCCCTCAGAATTACCTGAATTTACCTGAAAATCTACTGGAAATCTACCTGAAATTGCTCATGGGCAATTATTAGTGTGGGGGGGGGGGGGGTTGCACCCCCCGGTCGCTACGGCCCTGGGGAGGGGCATTGTTTTCATGCTGCTATGATTGGCAACAGTTCTAAAGCGGTCCAGCATCAGCCGTATCTTGAATTCTACCAACAAAAGCTGACCTTTAACGCTGTGTTTCCCTGGAGGAAGTTTCTTAATGTAGTTTGCGGACGTCAACTCGTGCCTTTTAAAATAATTGACAAAACAAGTAAAATGAATATATCAAGAATTGGTGTTGGAGACTAAAGCTCACGTACAAGACAAGCACGTTTCCCTTGACATGTTTCGTTTGCTAGTGTGTGTAAGGCAAAAATCTTTCCTTGACAAGGAAACTTGTTCCAAAACCAGTCAAGCCAGCTTTTGGACAAGGAAAATTTGTTCCTGTGTGCGGCCGCCAAGGAAACAGTGTACAAAAAATTAATACTTCTATGGTTTGGCAAACAAAAGGCGGTCATGCCGTGAGATAAATCATAAATGTTTAACAACATTCCGTGCACATGTGCAACAAAACTTGTCAAGGAAAATTTGCTTGCAGTAAGAGTGAAAGTAGAGAGCTAGAGATACTTACATATTTCCAAGAGCAACTTCACATAGAAGCATCAGACCAACAGGACTGCTGTAGTTTGTATTACAATAGTTTGCAGATTTTGATACCATGTCTATAAAATCATCCAGATAAAATTAGAACTGAAGCGAATTAATATTGCAAAATTACTTTTATTGCAAAATAGCTTACCTGCAAAATAGAGTCCTTTTCCGAACATATAACCAGTCTAAAAATTTTAAAGCAAGAAAATTAATCGTTATACGATAAAAACAGACGTTATTCACTACCAATGAAACACGGTTGAAAATAGAAATTAAGCCCCCTTCAAGCATTGTTGAAACAAAAATCACCCATTGGAAACAAAATGTGCTTCTGAATATTTGGGAAACGTTTTTGCTTTCTGATAGAAAAAGGTTTTCCGCAACATTTTCAAGGTGGCCAAACGGGGAAGCATTTGAGTAAACGAGGAACGTCTGATGTTTCCACTACAATGTTTCTTGTGGGTTTGTCCAGAACTCAACCATGAAGATGTATATTAAAATTTGATCGTCTTAACTTACGACAGGAGCCTCTGGAGGTGCAATCCTCAAACCCTGAGATAATATACCAGCAAAGTTAGTCGCGCGTGAGCCATGCCAGAGAAGTTTACGATTTGGAAGTTCCTTAAATGGTTTGTAACGTTTCTTTTCTCCTTCACGGTCAATCCTGAAGATCTGAAAAAAGAACACAATAATCAATCTCATCACAACTGTCATCATTACCATTGCTAGTATTATTACCATCATTACCAGTATCATTGCCACAATCATAAGTACTATCATGATCATTATCTTCGGCACCATCATCACCATCAAGAATACTACACAACCATGCCAGAATCTTTATTACTTCTATCACCATCAACACCATCATCACAAACAGCCAACAACAGCACCACACCATCATCATAACAACATAACTATCACCATCATCATCTTCAACTTGATCATTACCATCACGATCATTACCATTTACCACTACCATATGACCATCGCTACCTCCTCTACCACCATCATTACCAGACCAATTATCATAACCAACGTCTTCATTACCACCATCCAGGGGTGGATTTATAGGGGGGGGGGCGTGCACAGGGGTCCGCACCCCTGTTGGCCTTGGTCAACAGGGGTGCAAAAAAATCAAATTCAGAAATATGGCACAATTTCCAAGGTTTTTCCTTTTTTGAAGTCAAACTGAAGCTCACAATTCAATGCTCATATCGCAGAAAATGGCATTTCTAGGATTCTAATTTTCAAAATTTTCTGGAGGCATACCCTTGGCCCCCCTAGGGAGCTCGCGCCTTTGACGTTTGAGTCGTTAATATAAGGAATTATAAAGAAACACTCGGCTGCTCGCCCAGCACCCCCCTAGAAAAACCTTGCTGGATCCACCCCTGCCACCATCAAGACTGCCACACCATTATTCCACTATATTCCACTACCACCACCATCTCAACCATCTGATGATGTGTCAGATGGTTGACTACAGTACCTCCTGAATCTCCAAGCCGTAATGTCTGTGAGTTGACGCATGCGTATTGTTCACATATTTCTCAATCATTGTAAATTCATCTTCTTCTTTGCTGATTGGCTAAAAAAGTAAACAAACACATTGTCTTTTCATTGTTTTGAAAATCACACTGTTCTCCATGCCATCCAGTCACTCGCTGTATTGACCTTTTTATGCAAAGTACTTATTCAATTGCGGCAAGAATTCATAAAAAAAGCCCACCTTAATATGAGTTTTCAATTTCTTATAATAACTATCCAATGGATCTTCGCTATCTGATGTTTCCTTGATCAAACTGTAAGCCACCTCAATATCCAGCAAATTGTCCAGCATGTCTACTTTACTCTAGAACAGAACGAATAACGGGTAATGCCTTGTCGTTTGTTCTAACTTATTTTTAAAAAAATGTGTAGATTAGTTGAAATATTCCTTTTCAAAGTTATTTTGATGTTCCAATGTTTCTTAAGTTGATAGCTCTATCAGTTCTAACCTGTTCTTCTCTCGAGGTAAGACAAGATAAGTAAGGCATATTGCCTCAAGGTAAGGCATATTGCTCCAGTATTACTGCAGCAGGAAATCGGAAAACCAGGAGAAACTTTCTCACATTCAATTAAAGCGATACTACAACTGATGAGACAACTTTATATTAGCCATTTCCTAAAGTTCCGGGCCTAGTCGCGAAAATCCCATGTTGGAGGGACAAGAAATATGGCAGCACACATTTAAATTAAAAGTTTAATGTAAAAAGAAGGTATTTCATTTTTGGTCGTCTAAAAAGTAGATACTTGATAGTAGATACTTCTACTCTTTCACATATTTGACGCCTGTCACCATATATTCTGTCCCTCCAAACGATCCAAGAATGCACTGTGATCTCTTTTGGGAAAAGGCTAATTGCAGGAATCAAACCATTAATGATGTGCATGCACTAACCGCTTTACCTCCACTCCTCTGACGTTAATAGTGTTGTTTCACATACCTTGATAAGCTCTAAGTTATCCAATAATGGCGGTATCTTCATCCCGAAGTCGTGAGGAATTAAAGTGTAAAATCTGTTTGAGGCATCGAGTATTGCTCCTTTGCTTCCTTTCTCCTCAATGAGCTACAGAAATAAAATGTGCAAACGAACACATTTGATTATGTTTTCCGTGCATTTATTACTGAATACTGGGATCGAATACACCAAATATGACCGTCAGTACTGCCAAATTCATTCACATATATTAAGAGGCAATTTTTTTCAATGTCACGTATTTGCAATGAAAAGTGTTCAAAACCCAAAATCTTTTTGGCGTTCCTCTCAAAATTACTTTGTTTTAGCTTTATTCTCTAGTTTATACAGTTAGCAAACTTTTAAATGCATTTGCCGGTTGAGAAACATTGACGCCATATTTACAGCCATATACGCAAAACTTACTGAACTTCAGACATCATTTTCTCTTTTGCGTATCATCTAAAATCTCTTCATTTTAACATTATTTTACAGATAAAGCACTAAACATACTTTTTAAGTTTGTTTGCCGATTGAGAAACGTATCGAAAAAGTAAAAATTTTGAATTTAGTCATAACCTCAAGTGGTATATTTATACGCATTAGTTTTGAGCGCGTGTTACGTAACATACAATTAACACCTTGTCCACCATACTTACCCGTTTGGTTGGTTAGGTGTTAGCTCAGCTGACCGAGGGGGGTGACCTGGACTGACTACTGTTACTTGGACTCAGGTTAAGATCCATGACAATGGCATCTTGAGCTGCCACCCCCCACCGAACTAACACCTTCACACCAATTAAAATTGGTGGAAATAAATTGTTGAACTAAGCGTGCAAAAAAAAAATTCAAAACGCACGTTGTTGTCGTTTGGACGTCAGACTTGGAATGATAGATGTCACTTACTCCCATTGCGTGAGTCATGTGACGTGCTGACGTCAGGATACCTGGTTCCCAAGTTGCTAACCTTGGTTATTGCATAACCTCATAAATATCTCTTAATTTACATGCTTGGTTACCACTGTTCCATTTTAGGCATGTAAAGCCTGGTTTACACTATCAAAGTTTCTGTGAGCACAGTAGGAATTTCGCGTAGGTAAATTCTAAGTTTTGAAGAATTTGTACGAAATGTTTGAGGAAACTGACTTGATGTTAAACACTGAGTCAGTTGCCTCAAACATTTCTTACAAATCCTTCAAATCCTAGAATTTACTTATGCAAAATCCCTACTGTGATCACAGAAACTTTGATAGTTTGTGTGGAATTGAGCATAAACAGAACTACAGAAGTAAGCCGATGTATATCAAATATATATTCAGGTGCTATACATTATATATACCTTCTGTGCCTCAGTAAGGATAGAGTAAGCGCTTTCAATCTGCTTTCTGGAAAGTTTCCCCAGAGGCATTTTCTTCAAATCAATCTTGAAGTAAAAAACAAAGCGTGGAATACGAGATTAACAACAAAAAATATATTTCTCAAATCATTAATAATGCATTTACGTAAAAGCAATAAAATCAGCACGGTAGTGTTTCAGTATCGTTGCATTTGTCTTGATACCAAAGTATAATAAACGTCCATAAATTTTCGCGTTAAATCAATACTGTTAATATTGCTTGTTACAAAAAAAACAGAAACACGGCCAGTTTAGGACTCTGGTACATCACACATGGTCGGAGTAACCAAGCCTCCTCGTAAATGAAATCTTACCTCAAATTCCAACAAAGCTTTCTTCATGGACTCGATATCAAAGATCATTCTGACCAACTTTTGAACAGCAAGAGGTAAGGTCGATTTACTTCCTGCAGCTATGGCGGTCTGAGCTTGAAGATTATCATCGTCCTGACAAATAAGGACACCGTTGTCTAAACTACTTAAATTTTGATGTTATGAGCGAAGGCCGTTTATCATTTCAAGAGGTCAGTATGCTGCTAACCTGTTGCTATTCAATTGTCATACCTACCTGGCCGTAATCTATATCCAACGGATAGAATCTGCCGGCTTGCTTAACAAAATTCTTACGGTTAAACCAATGGTTTCCTAAACAACAGAAATCAACAGTGAAATATTTCTGTCTCCTTTACCTGGTATATATACTGTGTTCATACTGTACTCGGAGTACAGTACTTCATGTCAGACTTGTATAATAGGACTTGGGTATTAGACGGTACTCACCTGTTTTTTCTTGGTACATTTCTGTAAATCGAGAGATGGCCTCGTCAGAATCATAACAATCCTGAAAAGAAATTAACTTCAATTCACAGGAAGCGACAACTATCCACTAGGAACGGGTTGAATGCAAGGTTATGGTTGAAATAACTTTATCTTTTTTCACTTCGCTGTTAAATAATCAAGAGTTTCAAACGTTCACTGGTTAAAAATATTTATTTGGACGAATAATCCATAATAATCATTACCTCAACTTTATTGCCACCAATTGTCGTGCCAACTCGTCCCCATGAACGAAAAAGATAGCATCTAAATAAGGTAAAACAATAACTTATCTGGTAAATGAATAGCTTTCTAGAGTAAACCTGACAAGCTTGGTGAAATTAAACAGTTGATATCTGAAGCAGTGGCGGCGGAACAGGGGGGGCTAGGGGGGCTAAAGCCCCCCCAGAAGTAAAAGTGGGGGGGGCTAAGCCCCCCCAGAAAATTTTGTTTTCTCTGGAAAAATTTTGATAATTAAGGAAAAATGTAGGGTATTTTTGGAAAATTTAGGTATAATGGGAAAAATTTGGGATATTTTGTTTAAAAATCGAGTATGTCCGGAAAATTTTTCTGTTATAGGTCACGGAAAAAAAATGGGGGGGGGGAGGTCAATGAAAAAAATTTAGCCCCCCCCCTAAACTGAAATCCGTTCCGCCGCCCCTGATCTGAAGTATGAGATAATAAATGGATGATTCCAGCTATAGACGAAATTTTGACCAAAGAAGATGAACGAAATCCATTACCATGGCTGGAAAGAGCATCTTAAAATGATGAAAATGCAAAATTTGATTGCGAATTGTCATAAAATGAGGAAAATATAGCCCTGTGAGTTTCGCAAATTTTGTATATATTTGCATTACGCGCGGGAAAAATAACCATTTTTGAGCCAAAAGTGGTTATTTTTACCGCGCGTAATACAAATATACACAAAATTTGAGAACTTCACAGGGCTACATTTTCTTCATTTTACAACATTTAGCAACCAATCTTTGCAGTTTTACTCATTCTAATACATGTACGCTCTTTTCTAGCTGTGGTGTTGGATTTCGTTCGTCTTGCATTGATCAAAATTTAGTCTATAGATGGAATCACCCACTGGATGCAGTATAATTTCAATGGGAATGAGATAAATAACAATTCAGCAATACAAACCTTGAACTTTTATCTTCCTTAAGAACTTGCAGTTTATAGTAAGAGTTTGTTCCACGTGTGATGTCAACCATGCCAAGAACGGCGTTATATACTTCGCCTTTCACCTGTAGGACATGTGCTTTATCTTCTAAACCTGAGAATAAATGAAACACATAGGCGTAAAAAAAAATACCTGTGGTTCCGGTTTCATATCGTGAAAAAATTAGGGTCGGTAGGTCGGAAATAAATTTTTTTTTTAATATTTTTTTCATGGTTTTGGCGGTTTTTTGCTGGGCGATTTGCAGTAGAGTCCCGACATCAATATTAACTAGAGATGCGTAGTTCTTATGGACGAATTTAGGCAATTTGGTTCAATAATTAGTGTGACAACAGACGCCATTTTGGCACGCTGTATGAGCAGCCCGCAACCACCTGGAGAAAATAGGATCGCACGGTCAATCGCGTTGATAAAATAACAGGGTCGGCAGAAAAAAATAGGGTCGGTCGGGAACCGGAACCACAGGTATTTTTTTACGCCATATGAAATAAAGTCAGTGAAATCATACGGCATATTTTGTCGCCTGTTTGTTATTGACTACTATACAAAGTATAGCGGACTGATGCGCATGCAAATAACAGGGTTCGTACATGTGAGGAAGAGTCAAATTCAAGGACTTTTCAAGGACATTCAAGGCCATGTATCAGCAAATTCAAGGACTAAATAAATACTGAAGAAAAGGGGTTAGAAATCAGTAAAATCTGATTCTTTCAGACAAATCTTTCAAACACCTTAGTCAGATATGAACATGCAAAATCAATTCAACAAAATGTCCGTTTTGAATGTCAAACAATTTCAGAAAATATCCAAAAACTAAAGCAAGAAAAATTTAAGGACTTTCAAGTACTTCTTTACAAATTCAAGGACATTCGAGGCCTTGAATTTTTGTTTTCAAATTCAAAGACATCAAGTCAAGGACTTTCAAGTTTTGTACGAACCCTGAAATAACGAATCTTTACTCGTAGTCAGAACTGTACTGGTGGTTAATTTGGTCAACATAAAAGGAGATCTCACTCTTCATCGCAGGCGATTCGAGCTGTTCACTGAAGGCTGTGCAAAAATTTGTACCTGTACCTATACATCACGATCTTGTCGTATTATTTTGAGACTGCAGAAAACAATGTAAAATTTTCAAGCGGGATTCGAAAGTGCATCTTTGTTAAGTTGCCACGAAAGAAATTTGTGTGTTGCACTTGAATTCGATAAAACACGTCATTGGTTCAATAGGAAAAGAAGATGCGAGCTAGAAATCAGCTCAAGACAGCTAATTTTCGTTGTTTTCTGCAGTGTCAGCTGAGGATGATTCTGTAGTGGTAGGTATATATGTAATAAGATTGTTGTCAAGTCGATATCAGGATGTGTTCGCACTTCGTGTTCCCAGTTGTTGTGACAAGTCTGTGTTACCGGTAACCTTGTTACAAGGTTGATGACGGCAACAGGCTATTCATAACAAGTTGCAGGCTATTCATAACAAGTTGCTATGAGCTTGTTGTCATCAACTTGTTAACAACTTGTTACGTACAGACGACGTCAGACTTGTCGGACCAACTTGTTGCGAGTCTGTTGGCCTCAGCAACCTTGTTACAAGATGATAACTTGTTCCTCCAGACTTGTCAAAAACTGGGAACAAGCAGTGCGACACATCTTGTTGACAATCTGTGAGATTTTTACGAGTGTATAATTGGTATTGTCAAATACCTGAGTCAGGATCAACAACAGCTCCACCCTTAACAGACATTTTCACTTTCTTTTCAACGACTTTTCCAGAGCCTACAGAATAAATTTAAGAAGGATTTTAAAAACCAAAATCATTGACTAAATATGGCATTTAAACTTAAAACGCAAAAGTCAAACCTTACCTCCTGATGAGGCAGCTTTCTTCTTGCCAACTGGTCCATCCGGGACATCGATCGCAGGTCGTTTACCTTTCTTTTCAACAGATGCATTCTTTCTCGTTCCCCAAGGGACTAGGCTGTGTTTTGAAATGGCAGCAAGTGCTTCCTCGGTTTGAACTGCTTCTAAATAATCCTCTGATACTACAGGGACGTTGGCTTTTTCAGCATCTTGTATTTTCTTGCTGTTCTTCGCCACTTCACCTGATGTAAATCAGGAAAACCAAATATCTTAGTATTCTTACTGTTCTCCCTCGAGGTCCAGTAAGGCTCATCTCTTTTTGGTCCAGTTTTACTACAGGAGGAAACCTAAACTAACTTTGTTTGTACTGAATAGCTCTATTAGTCCACACTGTTCTCCCTAGAGGTCCAGAAAGGATCATCCCTTATTGCTCCAGTTTTACTATGAAAGGCATATACGCTAAATGCTATGTCAATCTTTTCACAAAAGCTTCTTCAAAGCTTACCTGAAGTACTTATACAGCAAGTTAATTCTGAGGAAACTTTATTCTTAAATGATCCTCCTAGCTCTTCGATCTTACTCTTCGTTGTTGCCTGGAGTTAAGATAATCACTTGCTAAAAGCGGTTTGGATAGATATTTTTCTTAATACAATTATTTATCACCATTATTTGTTTTGACACAATTTCCATTTTACCTTTGTCGTTTTCAATGTCCCAATAACGGTCAAAGTCAGACCAGATAAAGGTTTGCCAGGGACGGCAACAGGCCTGTAACACATAATATAAAATGATATATTACAGGATTGATTTCCTCCAAATATTAGCAAATTTGAGCAAGAATTCGTATAGGTAATCGCATGGGGCCGACTAAAATTAAGGTTTAATTTCACGAGTGTTTTCAAGTTTCACAAATTTGTGAAAACACAAGTGAAAAATTTATGTGAGGGGATATTTAGTTCTTGAACCTCGTATGTCTCCATGTCTTTGCCGATGTTCCTTAATGTTGCCCTGCCTGCCCATTTCTTAAATACTCCAACCAATAAATTTGTACTTTTTCTAGTGTTCAAGTTTTCACTAGAAGTTTTAAACTTCAATATCATCATTATCCGCGACAAAGCGAGAAGCCGTTGTTTTTAAAATTAAATTAAAACAAGAAACGTCCCGCGCTTGCGTCTCAGCCAATCAGGTACAAGTAATTTTGCCCTCTACTTTACGATTATTAAAGAATGCAACGTTTTCATCAAGACGAATCGCTATCTATGTATATTTTCTACTCGTGTTTGTATATCTTATACAACAGTGGCCGAGGAAGGGCTTTCGCTCGAAACATCCAAGTTTAACTTGTATTTTTCAGGCAGTTGAATCCCTATCAATCCACAGTTCCTGTTTCTTTTGTCACTGTCTACGCTGGCGCAGATCGTACTTGCAGGACAGGAAAAAATAATTTTCTTCCTGGGAGCAAAATCTGGAGACAAAAATTTCCTGCAGACCAACGAAGTATTTTTGTGTTAAATTATGTGCATAAACATATGTATGGTGTTTTAGCTGACCAGAGTTTTATATTAAACTGAGGAATAATGTCTGTCAACTACTGTATATGCTGTTGCGCCCACAGTGGGACATGGGTGTTAAGGTTTCCTTCATGTTTTCAATAGCAACTTTAGTCAAACGAATTTCCTACAGCTGTTTAACATTTCCGGAAATTACTGTCAATATTCATGCACAAGATCCAAGCGTTATTTCGAGCGTTGCAAATATGCCTTCATCAGACATTACGTACTTGGCGTCGACTTCATCTTTTCCCTGTGAGTCCGAGGCTTCTGATGCAACTTCTTTCACTGTGGGAAATATTCTCTTGCCTTTCTTTGGTTTAAACTTCTTCCTGTGGGAAAATGAGCCATGCATAGCTTTAAGCCTCTTACAACTTACAACTTTTATTATTAAATACAAAAATTACAAAGTAAATAAAACCCACATGCATTTAGCAAAGCTATTCTATAGGCAAGGGGTTATATACACAACAGAAATAGTATTATCCATTGATAGAAATATTTAGAATGTCTTTTTTAATTAAATATAGATATCTTATTATATATTATAGTGTATTATCTATAACGCTAATAACGAACTCAGAAATCCCAAGGATAGTGCAAAGTGGATATGCGCAAGAACTCCCTTTTCAAATGCCAGAACTCCCTTTTCAAATGCCAGAACTCCCTTTTCAAATGCCAGAACTCCCTTTACAAATGCCAGAACTCCCTTTTCAAATGCCAGAACTCCCTTTTCGAATGCCAGAACTCCCTTTTCAAATGCCAGAACTCCCTTTACAAATGCCAGAACTGAGTTCTGCATGGCGTTTTTTGAAAACGGAGTTCTGGCGTTTGAAAAGATACTTCTGGGCTCTGGCATTTGAAAACCAAGTTCTGCCATTTGAAAAGGGAGTTCTGGCATTTGCAAAGGGAGTTCTGGCGTTTGAAAACGGAGTTCTGGCGTTTGAAAAGGTACTTCTGGCATTTGAAAACCAAGTTCTGCAACGTCCCCCGATTGCATGCAACGTCCCCCGATTGATTACACTTTTTATATCTGTCTCGATTGAATTTTTCCCTAACCATGCACTATAGTTGCAAAGTGAATTAGGCTTCACTTTGCACTAAAAACTAAACTAACTTTATTTATATTGAATAGCTCTATTTGTTCCAAACTGTTCTGGAGGTCAAGAAAGAATCATTCCTTATTTGACAAATGTCACTACGGGAGAAAACCAAAGTTCCGTAAGAGAATCATTGCGTTGTTTGCTAGAGTCAAAATGAAGCGCTATTTTCACATGTGACTATAAATAAGGTGATGTTTAAGACATAAAAAGTCTAAAAGGATAAAATTTCAAAGTCTTACAGGAAATCAATATCTTCTTTTAAATCTGTTGAGATTTTCCAGGCTGTCCTTTCAGGATCTTTTGTGACATTTGTACATTTTGTCCATTCTGTAATATTTCCATGGCAGTAGTAACCGTCATTTCTGATATAAAAAATGAATGATTATGGTTAAGTGCTGGTATTTTTTTGTATGGTGTCATTGGTGTGTTATGGTGCCATATAGTGTAGCAAAGGCGTGGTACACTCATCTGGTGTCCTATGATCTGGTATGATATGGTCTGATATGATATGGTGTCATGTAGTCTGGTGTGGTATTTGTGATATGGTATTTGTGATATGCTATGATCTAGTGTAATATGATATATGGAGTGGTTTGGTATGATATATGGTATGGTATCAGGTGGTAAGGTATGATATATGGTGTAGTATCGTATGATGTGGTATTTGTTATATGATATGGTTGGATGGTATGGCAGGGTCTGGTGTGTTATGGTGTGGTATTTGTGATATGGTATGATCTGGTATGATATGGTATGGTCTGGTTTTGAATTGTTTTACTTACTTATAACTAAAACTTCCACCGCCACATTCCCCACAGCGTTTCAATGCTCCAAATGCCATTCCATCAGCACATTTATCTAAAAGCTGCAAAACAACGTATATTATATAACTTAAAATACTACGTTGGCCAACCCTCCAACCTCACGTTCAATCATGTGTCAGTCTACTACCTACCACACTCTCCCCACCATAATCAGGCTGATTATTATCAGATAACATTTGTTTTAGATCATTTGAACTGCATTCGTTTTTCAATGCATCTCGGATCTTCCAGATTCTCTTACTTTGGGCCTAAAAACAAATAATGGCGGTAATGGCATGTTAAACACCCTTGAGCTTGGTCATTTTTGCTCTAACGTTTGCGTCTTTTTCCTTACATAAAATGAATGTGATAATATTGGCAAAGTCACCGTTTTTGTGCAACTCCCCTCTCCTGCAATCTACACTGTAGATTAAATAGCTCACTGGCCTTATATATACTTATACTGGGCGTCCCCAAAAAAGTGGACACTGTTTGACTTAATGTAACGTAAAAGCTATCGCAATGGAATAACGATCACTGCATTCAGAAAAGACTAACTTAGATTCAGTTGATATATAGGTTATTATAGCACTTGAATTTACATGCAATATTGATTGCATGTTTGAACGTTGAACTACTGTTTTTGACAATGCCAAGAATTAGCTGATAAAACAACCTTATAATTAGCCAATTTTCACCTCTCCAATTTTCGCTCAATATTGCATGTAAATTCAAGTGTTGTATATATCAAAACCTAAGTTAGTCCTTTCTGAATGCAATGTCAATGATCTTTAATTCATTGTGATTGCTTTTACGTTACATGAAATTAAACAGTGTCCAGTTTTTTTTGAGGGATACCCGGTAGATATAATTTCTTAGCAACTTAAGATAAAAATTGCCTCGTATTGACCGCTTCGAAAACTATAGCTAAAACAATTTCTCACTATTTTATATTTTATAAATTACCATACTAACAAACAGACTCTGTAAGTTAAGGCAAAGTGCAAGAGTTCAAGATTGAACTTCGGTATCTTTAACATTTAATTTCTCAAAGAGGATACATGGTATGATTAGTTATACTTTGCAAAACTGTTGGTCTTGAAGTATTCTATAAGCAGGGACGCCGGAACGATGTGAAGGCAAGGGGGACAGATTTTCGTGAAAGGGCACTTTTGAATTGATATATACTAAGAGTTGAACTTCGCCTAATCATGTTTTCTATTTATTGGATGATAGGGGTGTGTGGGTTCTCCGCCAGGCGATTGTGCTATTCTTGAAGCTCGATGACTGCATTTCTTGCGTTTTCTGAAGCAAATTCGTAAAAGAATTGCACTAACATTTCTGACAATTCGCTATTTCGCCAAGGCAACCCTTTAAATTGAAAGGGCACCTTTGCCCCCCTTGCCCCTCCTGGTAAAGGGCAAAGGGCAACGGCACCTTTGCCCCCCTGCACCTCCTGCCCTCAGTTCCGGCGTCCCTGTCTATAAGGCAGCAGTGATTATTTTGATTGAAATTCGATTCAGAAGAAAAAAGAATGACAATAATTTTTGGAATCGGTCTATAACATACGGGAAAAAATTAAAATTACTTTCAAAGCTTCTTCCTCTTTCTTCTTTTCTTCTGTTTTCCCCTTCTTTTCTTCTTTTAATTTTTTATTTTGTTTCCCTTTTGTTTCTTCCATTGCACTTCCCTTCCGCTTCTTCCCTGCCTTCTTCCCGCTAGCTTTCGATGTTCCTAGTTTCTTCTGTAACAAAGTCTGGTCTTCTTTGCTCAAGGTTGTGAATCCAGGAAACATTTCGGCTGTGACTTCTTCAACTTCCAGTTCAGATCTATAGCATTATATTTTGTTTGTTGCATTACCAATTACTATATTTACAATCTCATTTCAAATGTATTTACGAACAATTTTATGGAGAAGCTATTATGGACAAATTACTTTCTCAAATGCAAAACACAAACGAAAATCAGTACTATATCCTTGTCTAACATTAGTTCCAAACATAAAATCAGACAGATTCGAGACCATACGCAAATTTCTCCACCTCCATTTGTCGACACAGGAATTTGTATGCAACCTTGGTTGGCTGTTCTTAAGGCCACATAAAAAAATAGCGTCCTTAGCTTTTGTCAAAAAGTGGGCAGAGTTTTTAAAACTTATTCTAATTTTTAACGCCTTGGTCATAGGTCCGAAACTGGATTTTTTGTGCAGATATTTTTTTATATATTTCAAAATATGATTCATACCGACATTTTTACACGCAATTTATTAACACAACTGACTACAGTCAACAGAAATACTACATATATTAGAGCCTGTTGATCAATAAAAGTTGATTTTTTTTAAAATAAAAAAAAATAGTGAGCGGGGCCTTCTTTGTGGGTGGGCGAGGATGCTAACCACCTATTTTTTTATGTGGCCTAATGCCTTCCCAACACTATCGTGTATTCTATTTAAGATACTGTAAAACATAGTTGGAACACTCTTCAAACCTTTGGGCATAAAAAAATACCTGTGGTTCCGGTTTCATATCGCGAAAAAATTAGGGTCGGTAGGTCGGATATAAATTTTTTTTAAAAATATTTTTTTCATGGTTTTGGCAGTTTTTTGCTGGGCGATTTGCAGTAGAGTCCCGACATCAATATCAATTTAAATTAACTAGAGATGCGTATTTCCTATGGACGAATTTAGGCAATTTGGTTCAATAATTAGTGTGACAACAGACGCCATTTGGCACGCTGTATGAGCAGCCCGCAACCACCTGGAGAAAATAGGGTTGCACGGTCAATCACGTTAAAAAAATAATAGGGTCTGCAGAAAAAAATAGGGTCGGTCGGGAACTGGAACCACAGGTATTTTTTTACGCCTTATTTTGATATTTTTTAGTCATTTAGTCGCACTGCGTCCTGACATGCCCTACTTTGTTTTTTTACTGTCTAATGCCAGACGATTTTACTCATCTAGGGGGGCCGGAGCACTGGTGCTTAATGGGTTAATCTAGACCTTGAATGTCCCCCATAATAATGCGTGACTACCAACTTTCATCAACTCTCATCCTTGTTTGACAGAGGGCAAGGCTTTACTCAATTTCATTATTGCGAAAAATTCCTTCGAAAAAACGCATAAACGTTACCTCTTTTCAACAAAACAATCAACATGAAACCAGTGCATCATCATAGCAACTTTTCCAAAAGCATTTGAGTCAGGAGACGGTTCCATGTTTTTTCCAACACGAAGTTCACCCTTTACATAATGATGATGAATTATTTTTTTATAAAATTTCCAAGTCAAGTATAAATAAAGTCAGGATACATGCACCAGTGGTTTCTAACCTTTTCAATTTTATCCTCACAAGATTTACAAGAGCTTCTGTTGGACTTAGCATATTCAACCCCAAGTGAAGCATCTTGTGATGGACCATCAACCTGACTTGTCCCACCTGCCTGTGAACTCTCGCCTGATAATTTACCCTTGATTTTCTCCTGGTCTTCCCACCTGAGCGAGTCAAAACCACTGATTTGAGAAACATCAGAGAAACCAAACTTTTTCTTGAAGAAGCAGCCATAATGAAACCAATTTGGGACCTAAAAAATTACAACTGAAGATGCTTGCATGCACTGTACAAATTAATGTACAACTTTGTTTGGCACTATATTCTTTATGGCAAAGTAAAATTAAGTAGAAAGTAAAACAAGCCATCCAAATTTCAAGATGGCCATTTAAAAGCTAGCTGGATGGCAGCAATATGCCCCTATATTTGTATATTATTTTAGACAATTTTGCTTCTGAAGGAGTGACATTTCCATATTCAACCAATATTAAGCTGCCATGTGCCCTAATTATGTGTCATACTGTACTATTTTACATGTCAGATGATTGACAATTGTATTTGTCAAGGGACATCAAATAAACTGGTTAATCAAACTTCACAACTTCACAGATGACATGCATATATCTCATTTCTTTACAGAAGACAATTTCACAAACAAAGTTGTTCATTGTCTGGTCACGGAAACCAACAAGCTTTGGCTATTTATCTGTGAATTAATTTGATTGGTTCATTTAAATGGCCAGTGGTTATTTCACACAATAAAACCAGAATCCTACCCACACCTAACCCTTCCCTAACCTCTAACCCTAACTGATCCGGGCCACCGGCACGCAGGTCGATCCACTGAGCTATCGTCTACAAGGCAAGTGCCTTAACCACTTGGCTACCAAGGATACGCTTGAAAATTAATAAAATCTGACAGAACAAAGAAATCAAATCAAACTAATTCACTGACAAATAGGCAAAGCTCGTTAGTTTCCACGACCGGACAAATAACCACTTGCAAATTATAAGATGAAACACATTAGGAATAATATTTAAACATTTGTAAACTCTTGAATCTCGAGTTTACAAGATGCCAATATTCAGAGTGTGTTTCAACAAATAAGGACACAATTATTGAATGCCTTTGTTTTCCATACACTCCAGCCTTCATATGAATGATATAATGATATTACATTGTGAATAACTAAATATTATACAGACAGTGTCTGAGTAGTTAATTCTCACCTTCCCATCAAAATGTGAGGACTAAAAGGGACAGAAATGAAGACATTAGATACGTTACAATCACCAGCAAGGTCCAGCATACTCATAATCGATTGTTAATGAATTTTCACAGGCCTGTACTGGCTGGGCAGCATATATGATGTTCAATTCACAGTTCTATTTATTAATTTTATTTGCGCCCAAATACAAGACTACTACACGGAATGAAAAGAATAAAAATTATTTCCTTAGGTCTGATAACTGCTGGTTAACCATCATCCCCTGTACGATAGTCGGATAGTGTAAACCGTCACATCGACTGGTCTGTCTGGACTCACTGGTGCACGTGCATTCTAATTTGTGACAAATATCGGGCAAAAAAGTACTTAAATCCTAGCCCGATCACGACAAAAATCCATCAGTATTTCCTACCTGAACCATTCTTGCAATCCGCAAAGAATCCTTGTCGATTTTTTCCTTGCATGCTTTGCATGCGGATCGATTAGACTTCGCGTACTCCGCTTGGAAAGGCAAATCGTCCGCCATCTTGCATCAAGTGGTGACCACGTGGGACGTGGGTTCGCGCGGTTATTTCTTGAAACGGTTTCGATTTCGCGGAAATTTTTTGTCGATTTACCAGAATTTCTAATTTCCCGCAAAAACTCTTAAGATTTCTAAAATTTCAAAGTTATGTAGTCTTTCTACATTTGAATGTAGTCAAAGTTAATTATGTAGTCTTTCTACTATCATCATTTGACAGAAGTGCAAAAATAGATGATAATCCTCTATCTAGGGAAACCTAACCCTAATCTAACCCCGACTAACTCTAACCCTAATTTAATCTTGAAACGAGAACAAGAGTTGATGAGAGTTATCTGATTAATTAAGATAGTCTGTCCTGCCTCTCAATGCAGAATTGCAGTTGAAACTGAAGCCTGTCAAGGCTTTTCAGATTTGTATATTTTTTTGTAAAACGCCTCTTCATTACGCAGCCATGCGGGGAGGTGATGATGTCGTGGCTAATTTGTTAGAAAAAGGTGCAAAAGTGGATGCCATAGATATTACCGTGCGCGTAGCGAAAACTCTCATCAACTCATTAAAATTTGAACCCCCCCCTGCCCCCCCATTTGCACTCGAAAAGACACTTAGACTGTTTTTAGCCCTCTTTTAGGTCAAAATTTCCGAAAATTCGTCAATTTTCCGTGAAGGTGGGGGGGGGGGGGTCGCCCCCCCCGTCCCACCAAGATTTCCGTCATTGGTGGAAGAAATAGACCACTTGAACCAGGATAGAATATTATTTGAAAAAATTCTATAATAACTAAAGCTATTTAGAAACACATTCTGTTGATAAGATACGAGATATTTTTCCGTGTGTAGAGTTCTATCGATATGTAATTTGGTCTAACACCAGTCATACACCAGTTGATCTGAAAACGTCAACGTGATTCTTTTGGAGTTTTCGTCTTGGTATCCTTCGTGCGTCTAGTTTTCCTGCTGGGTGACTTATTTGGACCATGTCCGCCATTAGCCTTGCTTGCAGGTCGAGGACTTTTAGGGTGGCGGAGTGGGCTTGCAGTTTCGATGGCAACACGGAGTTTAAACTTAGGTAATAGTGTTGAACAGTTTTGAAGAAGAGGAATATAGCCTGTCAAGTAGCCGTCTTGTAGAGCATGATGGTCTGAGAGGGGGGAGAGGGGGATGTCTTCCTCTGTAGTGTTTAGGGGTTCTTGCTTTTCGACGAGTATGTATGTTGAATGATTCTTAAGATAAAGGTCTGCGTACTCTTCTCGATGATCGTTTAACCTCAAAACCAAACCTAAATTAAAACAAACAATGTTGGTTGCACTTGTAATAAAAGCGTATTTACAGTTTGTGCACAGGCTAGTTGCACTATAATTAGTACATTTACCATTGTTTCATTTCTGTAGTTTTTTCTGCAGTATAAAATTTAAGATTGATTCCAGTTTTACTCTACCAGTGCCAAACACCACAGGTTTAGTTCGCTCGCTCGGCTTATCAGCCGGCATTTTTGCACTAGGGTACTGCCCCTCTCAAGTCTGAGAGTGTCGCACCGCGAAATGCTTCTTTCTAAGACTGTATAGTCGTGTGTGCAATGGTAAATTTACATGCAGTTTCAACTCGGAAAAGTCGGCTAAATTCTCTGATGGGGGAAGGCGGACATTGGCACCCCAAACACCCCGGGGGGGGGGGGGGGTATAGTTCTGCCAAGTCATTAGCTGGGCCTGTATTAGCTCTAAGATATTTAGGATTTAAAGGCTCAATATTCGGTATAATGTAATATATTCAAACGATACAAAACATGCATGCAACGAGTTGACAAATGATAAATTCTAACAACAATGGCGGTTGTGTTTCTCGCATCGCGCGCGCTCTCGTGTCTCTCGCGTGTCCTCACAAGAAATTAAACTACAAGTTTTCAAAAATACGTCACATTAGTCTATATATATATATGCACATTTACTAAACTTCGGTTTTTAACATTGCATATACGTGGATTAGCATGCATATACGTGGATTACGCAAAAGTATCCACTCTTTCACAATAAAATCTGTCACATCTGAAATCTCAGTAGATCTCCGATCTGAAATAACATTTCCTCCGTTCTGGGAAAGACATCCCTGAATGACTACCTCAACGATGAAATTAGCCTTTCTCACGAGGTCTAAATCCGCCATTTTTGGGTTAACTGTAAATCGATTTATAATGATTATACTTACAACTATATAATTATAGAAAGTTTCATTTTCACTAGCTGCTTACTATTCCTGTTCTAGAAAAGTTGCCACCCAAAAACCGTGACCAAGGCAACTTTTATATTGTAAATTAGCCTTAGCAATCTTCTTTCAAAGACACAATTTAGAGACGCTATTCGCCATGGTAACAAATTAGGATACGTAAAACCGTTTTAGGCATCTATAAACAAAACTTTTATCATATTCATTCTGAACAGCTTTTTCTATACACGTTCTGCCTGAACTCTCCTCTCTAGAGGTCCAACTTTTACGTTGCCGAAACAGGACTATCTGCGGGAGAACGCCTGTGGAATTAGCCTTATTCTCACGCTCGGCTTATCAGCCGGCATTTTTGCACTAGGGTACTGCCCCTCTCAAGTCTGAGAGTGTCGCACCGCGAAATGCTTCTTTCTAAGACTGTATAGTCGTGTGTGCAATGGTAAATTTACATGCAGTTTCAACTCGGAAAAGTCGGCTAAATTCTCTGATGGGGGAAGGCGGACATTGGCACCCCAAAATAAAATGGCGAATATTGGCCCCCGTGACAAATGAGGCGAAGTTGTAAATATCAAAACACTCATCCATATGACTCATTCATATTGCAGGAATCTAATCTCGGTGGCAGCGAGGTGAAAACCATGCATATAGAGGACCATAGTTAATATAGAGGTCTTCTATATTAACTATGCACTGACTAGCCACTGTAATATACTTGGCGCAAAAAGTAATGTGTTCAATGAACAAATTATGAATACGAATGAAAATACTTCGACGGAGGCCTCGTTATATGAAGGACGTTCGAAACGTCGAAATGTTGTTAATGTTTTCTGATAGTCCAAACACAAATCGTGACAGCTTATTGCATCATAGTTGTGGCCAATACACACGCCGTAAAAACGCGCAAGTTGCTACAGATCTGCACTAAAACAAGTTGTAACAAGGTTGTTGTCAAGGATGTGTTCGCATGGTTGATGACGGTAACAGACTTGCTACGAATTGTTCCAACAAGACTAATACAGGGTGTTCGTAACAAGTTGCCACAAGTTTGTTATCAACTGACTTGTTACTTACAGACGAATCAGACTTGTTGGAACAACTTGCGAGTCTGTTAGCCTCATCAACCTTTTCCATCCGAATCCGATGCATGCAGGCTCTATATGTCACGAGATTGCCTTGTTACAAGACGATAACAACTTGTTCCAGATTTTTCAACCACTGGGAACAGGCAGTGCACTGCGAACGCATCCTGTTGACAAGCTGTGAGATTTTTACAAGTATAATAGTAATATACCTGTCTCGTCTGACAAATCCAGTATTCTACCAAAACATTTCATACCGCAACGTGTCGTAATACTGTCAAGCAAATTGTTGACACTACATTGTGGGTTGCACAATATTAATTCATCATTACCATAGCGAATTTTGATGAACATTCTGAAACCAGATTATTTTCACATTTCTGAAGTCATAAGACGAAACATACACGGCAGAATGATGGTGCCCCGTCTGTTTGTTTGTAAGCTAAGGAAGATTAACCGACTGTCGTGTATTTGTAGTTTTAATTAAACCGACTTTCAATGTTTGACCAAGCTTACTGTAGACAGGAATGATTCATGATAAAGCACTCTTATTCCCGCTTAGATGATTTAGCGAAGGGTTTTGATTTAAACAAATGCTGTAATCTGATTGGTTGGCAAGTTGCGGTCACGGTAAAAGCTACATTGCTATTGGTAGAGAATTTGGTGGAACGTGCATGTGCTTACTGAAGTTCCCGGCTTCGATTCTTGCAGTATACAGTTATCTGCATGATGATAATTTTGCCTCAGCTACATATGAGAAGAATACTTGCAGTTTGACTCTACCAAACACCTCAGGGTTCCCAAGTATTCCGACTTCTTCCTGAAGTAACGCTGGATTAACAAGAGATGGCTCTTGCTGGACCCTTAGGGAGAACAGATTAAAACTACACACGCAAATATCTTACATCTTGTAGCAAGTCTGCCAACAAGTGGTCAACAAGTTGTGTTCGCACTGCTTGTCCCAAGTTGTCAACAAGTTTGGAAACAGCTGTTAACAACTTGTAACAACCTTGATATTATCAGACTTGTTGCAAGGTTGCCCCAGAAAGTCTGATACAGTCATGATATAACAATATTATTACAACCTTGTATCGTCAACCTTGTAACATTCTTGTTATAGAATGACTGTATTAGACTTGGTAGAACATCCTTGTAACAAGTCTGATAATGCCATCAAGCTTGTTTACAAGTTGTTAACAGCTTGTTCCAAACTTGTTAGAATAACTAGGAACAAGCATTGCGAACGAACACAACCTGTCGACAACTTGTGAACAGATTTGTATCAACTTGATTGCAGACCTACAACAATTTGTGCGTTTTAAGGTTACAGGACACCCTTTTTGGCGTTTTGCGGAAAATCGCTACTGCGCGTTCAATATCAGTCCGATTTTCATCAAATTTGCACCAAATGTTCTCCAGTGCATGCAAAATATGGTAAAGTTGTAAAATTAACAAACAATAAAATAATGTAAGAATTATTCAAGAAAATCTTAAATCGCGGTACCGTTAGGCTTTTGAGTTGTGCTCCTGCTGGTTTCAAGTTATATTTATTAAAATATCATTTTTATACGGTAAAATAGTTGTTCTAAAAAAACGTGTTCGGAAATTTTGTTTATTTCGTCATTCCGCTGATATGGCGATTTCTTTGACGACTGCAATATATTTCTGAATTGTTTGAGTGAATTGCTCTTTATTTTTAAAATATCCAAAATTAAAAAAAAGCCGAACACGTTTTTTAAACTGACGTATTTAGCTATGACCTGTGAAAATTTGAGAAAAATTGGTTGAAACCCGCAGGAGCACAACTCGTTTGAAAATCAGTAATTACCGTAAAATTTTTCGGGAGAAAATTGAATTTGAATATTACATTTTCAATGTTTTTCTTATTGCAGCGAAATGTATTTTATTAAATAACTCTGCGAGTTTTCAACATTTTTCGTTCAAACTTGGTGAGATAGTAGAACTAGTCCACTGCCTTCATCGAAACCAATAAAAAAATTTTAGGCAAAATTAACACTCAAAGGTGTTCTGTAACCTTTAACGTGTGTAATAGAGCTTACGTGGAAACGTGCAAGTTGCTGCAAACACGTTGTAACAAGGTCGTTGTCAAGCGGATATCAGGATGTGTTCGCACTTCTTGTTCACAGCAGTTGGAACACGTTGTTTTCACCTTGTTCGCAAGGTCGATGACGGCCACAGACTTGCTTCAATAAGACTTGAATAGGCTGTTGGTAACAAGTTGCTACGAGTTTGTTGTCACCAACTTGTTAACAACTTGTTACGTGCCGACCAAATCAGACTTGTTGGAACATCTTGTGGTTGCGAATCTGTTGGCCTCATCACTCTTGTAACAAGATGATAACTATAGTTGCTCCAGACTTGCCAACGACTGGGAGCAAGCAATGCGAACACATCTTGTTGACAATCTGTGAAATTTTTACAGCGTTTAGTGGCAATGATCATGAAGTTAGTTTAGCTTAGGTTTCCTTCCGAAGCAAAACAGAACCATAAAAAAGGATAGTTGTTGATACTGCGCCTCTAAACTGATAGATGTCAGTGTCCAATACTGATAAATCTTACGACAATTAAAGACAAAGTTGTTCTTTGTTTACTAGTAAATGGGCTGAACAGAAATGACTAGCAAAAAATGTAATTATAATTTTTTTCCAGAACCACAGCTTGTGTGTGAAAATCAGAATGTTTACAGTTAATCCATGACTTCCTCAATTAGATAAAGAATGACTTGTTTGCGCTGTGAATTAACCTGGATTCAAAAGTCTTATCCAACTGTGGCATTTATTAGCTTAGTTTGAATTATAATTCGCCAGCTTAGCGTCGAAAGTATGTCATTCAAATAATACACTTGTGCTTGGTAGTTTGTGAGTCGTGTGAATGTCGCATGCGTTTGATGGGAAGAATTGACCATTGAAATAATTTTAAAAAATCTCAGTTGAAGTTTATCATTACAAGCTTTTAAAACTGTTCAGACAAAAGTTCAAAAATTGGTTGAAATTTGAAATTTGAAAGGAAATTTGAAGAGGATGAGGGAAACAGCGACGCCGAAGAAAGAAGAGCCATCGAAAGCCGAGGTAAGGTTTCAAAATTCTTCATAGAAATCTGACATCTTGCAAATATTTTATACTTTTATTTCATGTCAAGTCACCTCCATTCAGCATAACCCTGAGTGTAGATCATTAAATGTCTTTTACCTTATGTCAGCTTGCTGAAATATATTTCAATTCATGTAATGGTTTCGTTCATTCTTGCTTTGCTAATTCCTAGATACTTTCAGTGATAATGGATGATCCCACGGCAATCGACTAAATTTTGATCTAGGAAAGAAGAACAAAATTCATCACCACCGCTAGAAAGAGCATGTTAAAATTAGTAAAACTGCAAAGTTTTGTTGCGAAATGTTGTAAAATGCGGAAAATATAGCCCTGCAAAATTTGCAAATTTTGTATTAATTTGTATTACGCACGGGAAAATGCACCACTTTCGGCCCAAATGTGGTGCATACTGCATACACACCGGACGCGATTCGGATTTTCACTGACCGATAACTTTGATCCTAGTTTGAATTTTCCAAATATTTATAAGCGCTATAACATTTTGAGTTATTTGGTCTACATATCTTTCAAATTTTGCTCTCATTGGTTGTTTTATTAACTTTCAAAAAACTAAAAAATCGCGTCGTGTTGTCGAATCGCATCCGGTGTGTATGGACCTTAATACAAAACTTGCAAATTTCGCAGGGCTATATTTTCCGCATTTTACAACATTTCGCAACCCAACTTTGCAATTTTACTAATTTTAACATGCTCTTTCTAGCTGTGGTGATGGATTTTGTTTTTCTTGCCTAGATCAAAATATAGTCTTTTGCTGGAATCATCCATTAGTTTTTCATCTGCGCTTTCCACCGCAGCTCAGTAGATGAAATGTGTAAACCCAAATGCGTGGAAATGATTAAGGCATCGTTCAAATTGCATGCCAATATACGCGAAACCTCACTTTGAAGAGCTCTTGGAATGAATGAAGACTGTCACTAAAACGAAGGTGATGAGGGTGGACCGCCTTTTTTTAGAAAAATATAAAATACCAAAGTTCCTGGAACATGCCTCTTCATGAAGAAGTGCAGGTGGACCGTGACGTTTCTCTATCTAGCTATTTTTCTTGTTGGGTGTTGGTCCTTTGGCTTTGCTTAGTAAGGTTAGACGGGATTGAACTGAAGAAATCATTGTGGAGTCCATATATGCTATGGATTTATTTATTCGATGACTTCCAAACCATTGGATCAATGCACGCACAAGTGTTAGTAAAAGTACTGTATACATTGGGGAAATTAATAAAGTATAACCGATTTCCCAGTGCAATATGCTGAAGAAAACCAAATTAGCTTTCGGCACTCAACCACGACATACAAAACAATATTGAGATGAGCGAGCGGAGAATATAGAAATATGTTGATACCATTCTCTATTTCAACCCTCCCCCCCCCATTTTCATTTCCACAAAAATAATTCCCCTCTTTACCCCCTATTTCACTGCTGTGAGATTTCCATCTGAAGATAAACAACGCCATATGAGTATTTATCTCATCAACGTCATATGATTTGTCTAGAGCAAACATGAATGGGACAGGCCAAAACTTTCCGTGTGCGCAGGTGAAACGCCTTCGTGCGCTTGCAAAACAAAAAGTTCACATGATTTCACATGACTAGTTAGTATTGTTATAGTTTAGGAAAGCATGGAATAGAACAAAAGCAACTAAGCGTTCAGATAACTGACATGCCTAGTTACTATTTTTGTAGTTTTGGAAGCATAGAATAGAACAAGGTACAGTAACTTATGAACGGTATTAAGCGGCCCTCCATTGCATGAGCGACCACCCTCTATTAAACGGCCACATATCGAAGTCCCGAAATTTTTGTAATACAAATACTATAAACTATCCCTCTATTAAACGACCACCTCTATTAAGTGGCCGCGGCCACCCAAAGAGCTGTCCCAAAAGATGTTTTATGTCAATTTTTACCTTTATTAAGTGGCCAGTCTGCAGGATTTACTTGGCGCAACACCTTGTCTCAAGAGAGCCGCAAATTTCGAGCTAATTTGCTTTATTTGTAAAATAATGCTTAATCTGTAGTAAAAGTGTCAGTGTTTGGCGGCCTGATATTTCTAAAGTCTACTCACCATTGTATTCTGTGATTTATAATTAAAAATAGACATTTGACTACGCCCAGGGTGTACTAGTAATCTTAGCCTATTTAAGTGTAGGACGGACAGATTTAAGAACAGTTTCTTCCCAGCTATGTGCTCACGTACTATGAACAAGTCATGACCGTTGTCAATTAGGTTTACAATCTAAATTTCCATTTTTATATAACTCCAATTCCTAGTTTTAAAAAGTAACAGTAGTCTTCATAATTTTATGCTTGTTAAAATACTATAATTCACTATCATTTGTATTAGTGCGATTGTATTTTAAATATACCGTCTATTATTTTATTATTTGCGTACCTCTATTAAGCGGCCACAAAGCCGATCCCCAAGGGTGGCCGCTTAATAGAGGTTCGACTGTAGTTAGGAAAGGACAATAGACGTTTTCTCGGCTTTCCAAATTCTTATTCATATTTTGCTCCCCAATATGGCAATAATGACTTCCGCAAATTTTGCAAGGCCATAATAAATTAGCCTTATAATATATATTTCAAAATATTTTGCTACCAAACTTTGCACTGATTTTGACACAGGCGTGCGGGAGGGGAAAAGTTTTGGAAATCTTATACATTTCTTGCATTTTCGACTATTACCGTTTTGCCCAAGTTACGTTTATACACCCCCTCCCCATTTCTAATATTACATGCAATGAATATAAACCTCTCTGGAACCATAGTTTCCCTCGCAGTCGCTCTTTGTGTGGGTACAAAGAACTGCGAGGGAGACTACCGGAACCAGGGTCAGTTTTTCATTTGGTTGCATGCGTTACATTTTGAAAAACCGTGAAGGTCTATCGTGTAATGAAATAATTTTGCCTGTATAACATTTGTTATAAACCTGTAACCTTACTGTTACACGATTGTAGGACTAGAATTATAATATAAAATCTGCCCTGACCTGACTTCACATGCCCTGACAATCGCTCATGCATGACAGCGTGGGCGTCTCATGGCAACCACAATATTGATGTAAGTAAATATTTAACCTGCATTTATTATCATGCCACGAAGGCATACAAATTTAATTTTGTTGCTGTTTGGTCGAAGTTACTGAATTGGAAGCATTCGTCTCGCATGTGACTGATGCGAAATTATGATCAGATAACTGCATGGCTGTATACTGCAAGAATGGAATCCATGTTATTATGACCACAGAGCTGAGCGGCAAGTAGGCCTACAATGTCAGAATTCCCCCAAATGCAATGCCATTTCAAGTGTTTAAAATGAGGTTATGTTGGCCCCCAGAAATGACCATTTCCCCAAGCACTCTCCCTGCGTATTTCACGAAATTTGATACCCTTTTAAAATGTCACATGATTACAGTGAAAAGCCAATGAAATTGAAGTATTTTGTCTTTCGATTGTCTTCAGTAATCTGAACTTATTTTCTTTGTCGTCTTTATATAGCGAAATACAAAATCACTTCATATTAAATTCTGCAAGAACACGTTAACAACGAAAAATTCCTTGTCTCGAGCGTGATTCAACTCCATCTGACCATCTTCGGATTTCTAGACTGCTCTTAAGTACAAGCCACAAGGTCAAGGAAAACTTCAACTTTGGAGCTCATGTATAATTTTAACTTCCCGAAGGCCTTTCGCTCGAAACGTGGCAGTTCTCCTTGTATTTTTAGGTAGTTGCATACTTGCATCCCTATCAATCTGAAGCTTTCTTGTATGTACATTCCACGTTATCTTTGCAGCGCGATTAAGATATAAAGCAGGCTAAACAAAACATTTCGCTCGAAAAGCCGAAGTTGCTGACAGTTTGTAAAGCACCGATATTAAACCGCGAATGAAAATAGTACCCTATTATCACAGACGTAGCTCAGACGTTATTACCCGCGATTAACACGTTAGTATATATCCGTATTCACTGATCAAATACAAGCAGCCTTGTCACTTGTCCAAAGGCAATGTCGAAAATTGACAGAAATGAGTTAATATCACTCGACAGACGACACACGATGAACGTTTACACGCTTGTCGGAAGGGTATATTTGGAAAGCTTGACTAAGACACATAATAGAATAAACAGGGAATTAAGTTTTGATAGTTCATGATGACGGGGTAGGTCCGTGACCGAGCGGCCAAACTACTCTGGTATTTGCACCCAACATGGGAGTGAATTACAACTGTTACGGCAGCATATACCGTACACTAAAAACAGAACTTCGAAGGCACTTTTGTCGCTCTATACTAACTAACTTCCGACCAAGGGCTTTCGCTCGGAACGTCGAAGATCTGTTTACATATTTCAGATAGCTGTATCTCCAACACACTGCAGCAGCTTTTGTTCACATGAGAATGCATGTGGTCCAATAAGCTGTTCTGGAATTTGTTCGATTCCATGCCGGGGCGTTTGGTGTCATGCATACCATCTGAACTGCAATGATGAAATGCTAGTTCTAAATTTCTCCCCCTCTGTGTGAACGAAGCCTGATAAATTAGAATTCATAAACCAAAGCCAAAAGCTTTAATAAAGTTGTCAAACTAGTATTGCACAAGACAAGTTTGTTGTGTTAAAATATAATAATTAACGCCTAATGGTGATTAAGTTCCGCCCCAGATGAACTGGGGTATCCTTGTAATCACTGAGTTTATTTCGTGATAAAAAACATTGTTAAGGTTATCGGAGAATAAAGCGCATTTTTTATAACACATAAAACAGCAATTTGTAAGTTGATATACACAATATAATATTACGTTTCAAATTCAACCATGTTTCAAGTACGAAGTAAGAGTTCAGTTTTGTTGTAAATTAAAATAAGTATAAACGAACCGCGCATCTAATTAAATTTAGTGTATAAGTTTTGGCATGTCGTTAAAATTTATTGTGTTGCGAAATCACGGCACAGCTAGAGTCCTGAAAACCAGGCGAGAAAAGGCCGATGCTTAGTTTAAAATGTAGAGTACAATGTCGTGTTTTAGCTGCAATAAGCTGCCCCTACTTGAAAAAGATTAAAAACGTTTCGACCGAAACCCTTCGTGGACTTCGTGGAGATGCGAACGCATGTCATTATAACATTATTGAAGAGCTTTTTCAGGTAGTTCAGACACAAACCACGGTAGATAGTCTGATATCCATCGCTCAATTATAAAACTTATTTAAGCTATTAAAAACACACAAGGCCACTTCAATGTACTATATCTAATTACTGTGTTGAGATGCCCAATGAAAGCTTTGCGGTCAAAATATCTATAATAGCCATACAACTTCCTTATCTGCACGTCAACTGTGAAGCCAGCCATCGTCAAGGGCATTTAATAATGCGATCATAAATATCAGCAAAACGGCAGGTCATGCTATAATTTACAGCTAATAGGACACTGGGATTTAGGTTGTGTCATAATTACGGCAAAACATATAATCAGCGCCGAGAACCCGCCGTGAAAACAATGTCAACATTATAGTATGATAGCATTGTCGTGTCACAACTTGGGGTAAAATAATGTTTTTGCTTATTATGCCTTATTTTGCCCTATTACCACATATTCCTGTTGCTAAACTACCAATTAAGCCTGATGCCTCAGTGGACATAATGGCGTTAATTTCGTTTCGGATTAAGCGATTGTTACCGAGTCAATGACAATTTGAAAACATTAGGGTCAAATGATGCGTCGCAAACAAGGAGACATATTTTATTTTAATACTGTGAGCGACTGCCCGCCTTTCTGTCAAATGAACTACTCGTAGGCGTTTGCAAGACAGCATGTCGTCTGCCAAATAAACAAAGCCTTAAGAATTCCGCAATACGACACCATACACACGCTGTGAAGTCTAGCTCTCGAAAATGCTCGTGAAAACGCGTTCTTTGTACCCTCTTTGCACGATGTGTTCCAAGCCAACGCACGCGAGTTGCCTCTTTTGAATTCCTTTTAGCAGTAATTGGGCTGAATGTGTCTAAAAAATGCGCGAAATTCACACATGCAGTTCCCAGACTTTACAATTTCAATACAGCATGCATGGGGTTCTCGAGCAAACAGCACAAAGACTATATCATCAGCAGGTGACTTATGGTTTTTGTCAATCATGATTGAAACCCATGGTGTACTCGATTCTAGACGCATTTATAAATTGTTTTGTGTTTTAATTAACATAGGTGCGAATACGTGCTGTCTCGCGCCTTACTAAACTCGCTAAACACACGAACTTTATTACTTTGCCAAATCGAGGAAATCGCCTGTCATTTTGTGAAAAGGTTTAACGAAAATTTCAGTTATGAGATTTGAAAGCGGTGACACGCCTATTGCAACGAATGTATAACATGATATGATTAGTCAGACAATGCGAAATATGAAATGTTTGAACTTATTATTTCACATATGATAGCCCCTGAAATCTGATTGGCTGCGAGCCTAAATTGTTTTTATTCCGTGGTGTTACGTGATAGCTATAAGTTATGAGTGGCCATTAAAGAATTTACGGTTAATACACCGTATATGTCGGGCAACTTAAAGCCTAAAACACACCACACAGCCTCGAAAATACCCTAGTTTTAGTGTTAAAGCTTTCTGAGTGCATAAATGATGCGAAAGCGTGGCTTTTCGGTCACGAAAGGTCAAAAGGCAAGCAAATGAGCGTTGATTACCGTACGACGGGTAGCAGTATGAGTTCCCAAATTCTCCCAACGTAGACTAATTAAAACCTCTATGGAAACTTATAGTTTGATTGACAGGAGATGTGGCAGGCAGCCATGATACAAGCCTTGACAATTCGTTACGAGTTGTGATGACGGGGGAATATGGGTTCTCATTTGGATGACGGGTTGTAAGCTTAGAGTGCCGTCCTACTGAGCTGGGTCTGTTAAACTGACAGCATAGTGAAACATTATTGTAATCACTAAAAAAACCCCTAATTTAACGACTTCATTCAACGCCGAAGATCGATCCCATACAGAGCATATGGCTCAACGGGTAAGGATAGCGCTGCTGCTCAAATTCGAACTCGCGCGTGCAGCGTAGCGCATCG